AGGTAAATTACCAAACAGCAGTACAGAAAATTAAAGATTTGATAGTAACACGTGATAAGCGACAAATGCTCTCCTTGAGTTTTGACAAATGGACATCAGCGGACAACAAAAAGTTCATTGGAGTATATTTGTATGTTGGCGGAGAAAGCGTTTGCTTGGGTTTGATTTATTATACTGGTTTCTGTGGGGCCGAAGAAATACTCATCAATCTGAAAAAAACGCTAAGTCGTTTTGGTCTACAATTAAGAGACATTTCCTTATTTATTAGCGACTGTGGGTCGGATCTTCAATTAGCTGGCCGCATTGCCAATGTATTTACATTCCCATGTTTGGCTCATGTTATTAACCTGATTGTCAAGCAGTTTATATGCAATGTCGGAAACGAGACTGAAAACTTTGACGAAGGGCAACTAAACGCATTAAATCATTCACGAAATGTTTTCTTAAATAAGAATAAAAGGTTTTTTTGAAATAAAACTGTTCATTAGCAAACTTGTTTTAAAATTACGGTCTCTTTTTTAAATAGTGTCACTCGATTTAGCTCGAAAAACTGGGTTGTCACTGATTTTTAACAGTTTTTAGCGATCTCAGTCGATTTAGCTCGAAAAACTGGGTTGTGAGTTGTGACTGATTTTTAACATTTACTCACTCCCGCGATTTTTACATTATTACGCAAGTCCCAGCCAATTCTACTTGAAAAATGCTATGTTCAATACTTTTTATAGAATTTGTTGTATCAAACTTTTATGCTAAGTTTTTTGGGAAAATAACCAAATATCCGAATAGTTGTTCGAGTAGTAACATTTGGCCGAAGCCGAATCCGAATAGTAAGGGCACTATTCGGCCGAAGTCGAATATCGAATAGTTGGGCCGCGGCGAATAACGAATATCAAAAAATCCGAGTATTCGACATCCCTGATAAGGAGTAGTAAAATTAATGAGCAACTCGAGAATTAAATGAGATAACTCGATAAGTTCAATACTGATCAGTTTTAATAACAGAAATAAGTTTAGACTCTAGAATTGAAGTTTTTGTCTGAACCATTGGGACACTCAAGCTGTCCACCTTTCCGTTGAAGGTTCACTCTGGTTCAGTTCGAATAATTGCACTCTTTTCTCGTGATTATCTCTCCTCCTATTTCAGGATAAGACGGCTCTACTCGTGTCTTATTTTGTATCCGGAAATTGCGAATAGCAAATTCCCGCTGTTTTCTTAAGTATTTTCCCGCCATTGTAAATTCGGTCGTTCTTTTTTTCACTTTGTGTTTTCAGTTGGTGCGAGAAAACTGAGCATGACAGGCTCCATTCGAAATTTTGAAAAATAAAACTTCACTCCAAAATCACGTATTTTCGTGTCGCTCAAGGTCAAACTTCCAGATATGACCGACTGGCACAAGCCGTCAGATGTGATTGAGTGTTCTATCTTAACCAAGACGTACAAGTCGTTTTTTGACCTGTAAACGGAACAGCTTACGAGCTGATTTCGAGAAAATTCGCTTATCATTTTTAATGCAATTCTTAGTTATATCGACCGACCCACTCCGCATACGACTCTAAAGATGATTCAATATGAGTTAAAGCGCTTAAATTCAGATGCCACTATATGCAACATTGATAGCCGGTTGAGAGACCAATGTTCCGAAGACAATGTTCCAAAGTAAAAAAATTCATGAAATATTCAAATACATATTTTTTCCGTTTTTTATATGAAATTTTATTTTTCAGTAAATTCTGATGGATTTATTTTAATACGACAGTTCTTTTATACGCTAGTCTTTAAATCGCAGGAGAATTAATTTCTTGTGTCATTTAGTCTGAAAAGCGGAATTTTCAGACTAGTTTTTTCTCGACACAGAAAACTTGTTTGAATTTTTTGGAATCTCAATTGCGAATATAATTTTAATAAATTCCCACACTTGACTATCAGTAAGCTTTTATTGAGGAGCTAATAACTGGATAGAGAAAAAGTCTTATCAATTTCTTTTTTTCTTTCCGTTACCTAGGTTTCGCATTTGAGTTTCGCATTAGGTTTCGCATTTGACCAGATTGGAGTTAATGTCTACGTTTGTAATGGCAAATATATTGGGTTCGATTACGACCGGGAGCCTAGTTGTTTTCAGATTGAAAAACATTTTTCTTTGGAAAAGTTTGATTGTCGGACAATCGTTTGTCTGTTTATTTCTTAAGGCTTACTTTCCGAATAAAAGTTTTTTCTGCTAGTCTAAACAGTTTCTATGCTTTTTCCTGTGATTTGTTAATTCATCACCCATGATTTAATTACCCTTGTGATATTTTTTTCCATTTTTTTTGGCTTTTCTGGCATAATAGGTTTCGGCTTATTTTATATCGACTTAGTGGCCTCTTATTGCGTCGTTTGATGACCTAAAAAGTTTTTATTTTAGCGTCTCTGAGTGTGTTCTTAGGGGAAAAGGGGACTTAAATTTTTTTCAGCTAAGAATTTTTTAAATTTGGTTTTCAGCTACAAGGGTTTCTGCTCATTTTTTTCTGCTTTGTTACCGCTTGGTAATTATAAATTCAAATTCACTCAACCATCCGACGAATCTTGCGGAGAAAATCGCAATCGTTCGAGACGGCAAAGTCTTGTTTCTCGAATCTGTACAGGGCCTGTTTTTTTGCAAACTAGAGTTTGTGTGCTTATTCGGATTATCGTCGGTCTGTTTATTTTTGTCGGCTTAGTTTCTGTACGCCGACTTTTTTTTGAAGGTTCAGCGTTCTTCCAATATCCTCAACGCTCATCATGTTTGACACGTCAAAGCCCGGGAGTTCGATTCCAGTTAATTCAATTGAATCAAAATTGAAACAAAATCAGTTGAATCAATTATGCTGACCTGCTCAATTTCACGAAAATTCAATTCAACTTTACTTTCTACAGACTTCGAAAAAGTGTGTATGGGGACCCATTTTTTTAAACATTTTCTCAAAGACTACCCTAAATTTGAGATTTTGGATTCAATAGAGAGAAATTGTCGCAAGAAGACCCCCTAATTTAGCGACTACGCCAAATTTTTCTTACGCCCAATTATTACGGCTCTCGGAAAAGTCAAACTTTCGATTTCTCAACCGTTTTTTAAAACTTTTTGAGTTTTCTCGAAAACGACCTGCCCGAATCTCAAAATTTTGGGCTTAATAGATGGAGCAGATTTCTGAAGCTCCACTGCATAAGCGGCCACTCTCAAAGATTTTAATACAAAAATTAATGGCCTTCGGGAAAGTGAAAAGTTTAATTTTGGACGGTTTTTTCAAACTTTTTGTCTTTTATTGAAAACTGCTCTTCCAATCTGAGTTCATAGGTTCAATGGAGACAACAGGTTATGTGAAGGCTACGTGGATAAGCGGCTCTACCCAATTTGTCGACATAAAAAGTTGTGGCTCTCGGAAAAGTCAATTTTTGATCAATTTTTGAAACTTTTTGACTTTTCTCAAAAACTGCCCTTTAGTATTTGAGATTTTTGGTTCAATAGAGTGAACGAGTAATGGAAGCTTTCATGAATTAGCAGCTACACCCAATTTTTCTTACAAGTTATGGCACTCGGAGATGTCGAATTTTCGATTTTTTGACCGTTTTTTGAAACTTTCTGTATTTAGTTCTCGGAAACTACCCTCCCAAATCTGAGGCGGCGAAAATATTTTAACATGATTGCATCTCGCTTAACTTTTGGACCTATTCCCCGCTGTTTAACTTTTGAAAATTTGATGTTTCAATAATTTGTCAAGCAATTATTTTTGACGTAATTTTTTAGTTGAAAATAAGCCATCAACTTGTGGAGTGTGAAATTTTTGCTTGTTTCGATTTCTTATTTTGCTCGTTTTCGCATCAGAACGTTTTCCTAGAAAATTAGAAACAAGTACTTCCACTTTCAGCCGGTCTCTAATCTACTTTGCATACGCTACTGATATATCTATCTTGGTATGTTTTAACTGAAGTTTCAGCTTATTGGATGACGGCTTCAATTCGTCGGCTTATATTCCGATTTTTTTCTTAAAGTGTAGTACTTTTGAGATCGATAAGACTCTGACACTATTTTTTGGCTGCCAAAACTCAACCCCACTAGGACCTCTCTGAAATCAGAAGGAAATGCTTTTTTTGTTTTTAAATTTTTAGTTTTTTCAACTTTCTTCTATGGCAACATTGTTTTGTTTGCTAATTTTTTTTAGCGTCATGGTGCACTCATCATATAATTGTTGTATCGCAAGAGGTGCGAAGCTCAGCTTCGCCTCTGTGTTTACTTTTTTATTTTTCCTTTCATTTGATTTTTTATCACAGTCATTCATATTTGTATCGCACGTGTTGCGAGGCTTAGCTTCGCCTCTGTATATATTCCTCTTCTTGTTTTCTTTTCGCTTTAATTGTTTCTTCGGCTTAAATTTTTTATTGGTTTAGTGGCCTCATAGAACTTCTTTCGATAGGCGAAAAATTGTTTCCATGTGTTCCAAGTTTCCAAAATTTTTGAGGCTCTTTTTTTCTGACTTTTTTTGGCTCAACGATTGTTCCCAAGTATAGTCAGTCTTCTTAGCCTCCGATTGATAAATTTTCTTTCAAAATTATTGAAAACTTATACTTTATCCCTATTCGAACCATAACAGCGCTAGAACTGAGGTGATCGGTTCAAGTCTTGAACTGTAGTTTTAGTTCAAGTCTTAAACGGTTCAAGTCTGAGTTTAGTAATCAGAGCTTTAATCAACTGCATGGATGTTAAAAACAATTATTATCTATCAAGAGTTTTTTTGCGTATTTCCGTCCTTTTTTTGGTTCACCTGCTCTTTGGTTGTATTAGCGAAGTGCGGTTAGCATCAGTGTCAATGTTTCCGCGGTGTTGCGGTTGCATTTGCAGCTTCTGGGTGTTCAGAGATCTCTACATGATAAATGACAGTCTGATAAAATAGGAGTTTGTGAAAGGAAATTAAAGTGCACATTTTTTGCTTCGAGCTAATTAACCAGTCAAACTGGCTATTGGCAATGTTTTTCGTTTGAGATAGTTATGAAGCTTCCATCAATCTATGATACCTCGGCAGCTCTTCATTCCTCTTCTCCTGCATTGACATCATGTGACAGCAGTGACCCTGGAGATGGCCCAGAGTTCATCAGGTCCTGTCTGAATAAGCAGTTTGCTGTCACAATTACGGACGGCAGGGTGGTGGTGGGGGATTTTGTGTGTACTGATAGAGACGCTAATATCATTCTGGGAGGTACCCAGGAGTATGTGCCAGGAAAACCAGGTAATTTTAAAGTTGATATATTGAGGAAAACTCAAATTATAATCAAGTTGAACTGTTCATAAACGAGGGAAACGACCAACTTACGCGCTGTTCAGCTCTTTCAGGCTAACCGCTGATGCGCCCTTAATTATAACTTACCAGGATTATTATTTTTTTTCTGGACTGCTTCACCCTCAAGCAGCGAGGTGTAGGCTTCGAACCGGCAACCTTTCGATCAAGAAGCGGAGACCTTGCTCACTTCATCACCTCTCACAAAAAGCCACGAAAAAAATGTGGAACTTCGAGTTTTCACAAATAGTGCGCATATCCTATCCTATATATTAAATGAATAGCAAAATTTCAGCGTAAGGCCTAATGTTAAACACAGGGGCGGATCTAGGATTTTCTCGAGGGGGGGGGCGTATTTTCAAAAGTTTTTCGAAAATTTGTCGATCTTTTTTATCGTCGATCAAATTGATTTTTCAAGCTCTCCCATAGCACTAAAAAGTCCGTTATGGCCAAATTTTCTGCGCCGCAGGCGAAATTTTGAAAAACAGGCCAACAAACGCGTTTTAAGGCACTTTTTAGAAAGGTTTGACCAAAAAAATTGAATTTTTTTGGCGCGCGCTCCCCCCTTAGAGTAAGTATATTGGCGCCGAAGGCGCTTTTAGAAAATTTTTAGGGTCCGTCACCAAATATGTATATCTCAAAATAGTACAAAGGGGGGACCCTTTGGGTCGAATCGCTGAAGAAAGGGCGTTCCCCCCCCTCTAAATCCGCCCCTGGAGGTGGGAGTAGGAAAAGTAAATGAAAAAAGAGATTTGTGTCCTAATATAAGGGGGTTTCGCCTGAATTTTGATACCTTTATTATATCGTTAAATAGCCAAAACTTAGCCTGAGAGCTTTGCAAAATTTCTGTGAGAATGCGACAGGGAAACTGATTTTGAATTTGATTTTTATTTTCTGCTTGAAAGCTTGCTCGAAAAATGCTCAAATTACTTCATTGTTTGATGCGCGTGCCTTAGAAAGAAGTTTGCTATAAAAAACTGTCTAACTTTGCCAACAGATTCATGCTATGAAAACTTGAATTATTTGAAATTTCGTTGCTTGATGAGTAGGCTAAAAGACATAAATTTTGCAAAGCGATTCTTGCTGGGGAATTAATTAGAACACTTCAATGTATAACGTAGAAGTTTTCTAGCGCCGTGAATCAAGCTACGAAACAAATCAAAGTTTCATTGATTGGAGATGCTGCTGGAAAAATTAAGTTTTCCGAACCAATTCATGTTGTGAAGTTTCATTGCTGATGAGGTCGCTTAAAATAACTAAATCATGCGAAATCTGCGAATCGATTCGCGCTACAAAATACTTTGAAGTTTCATTGCTTGAAAACTTGAAATATTTCGGATTTTCGTCCCTAATGGGTTTACTTAAAAATCGTAATTTGCTAACTGATTCCTGTTATAAAATGAGTTGAATTAAGTAGTAGTTACATCGATTGATGAAGTTGCCTAATTTTTAATTTTTGTTTCATTTTTTGATTCTTTTTGCGAAGTAAAGTAGATTGTTTCAAAGTTTCATCGCTCGATGATTTCGGTTAATTTTTTTAGCCGATTCAATTTATCAATGAATTGGCTTAAGCTATGCAATGTTTTCAGAAATCATCCCTCGGGAAAAGTTTATAGTCGCCTTTTTATGGTGGAACACGTATTAGTACTTAGGGTTTTTTGTTACAGAAATCCACCTGCTAGTTCTGTTTAATTGAGTTTGCTCTTGATCACAAGTATGGGGGAATTCTTCTGGTTTACTTGTTATTCCGGGCACTCTGGAAGAGTGGGAAGGAACTTTAGATTTGAGTCGGTTTTTTACCAGCCAAATTATTAAGTTTTAAAAATTTAATTTTTCTGGCTATGTTGCCTCTCAATCCCTCAGTTTCCATCTTATGAAGTCTCCCTTACTAAAAAATCACCAGGAAATTAGAAAAAAAAGAAAAAATCATTGTTTTCTTGCATCAGCCTGGTCGGAACATTATATGATGCATTCAAAGCCACTGGCTATCTTTGTTTTTTGGGTACCAACCATGCCTAAAAAATTTTTACGCTTGGCAATCTAAATTCAATGCATTTGCTGGACTTAATGATTATTATTAGTTGTGTTTTAGAATCAGAATCGCGACAAGTGGGACTAGTCATTGTCCCAGGAAAACACATCAAAAAGATCTTGATTCGCAATTAGATATCTAAATTGCCGATCTTGTCATCGTACGTTCTTCAGATCATGAAATAGAAGAAAGACCGCCCTGAGCTAAGAAGTCAGATCAACTCAGACTTGAACAGGACCAAATGTGAAGCAATGAAGCCGCGGCAATTTAACCAAATTAATTGATCGTAATCTGACGGAAGTTTATTTTGAAACTGCTTTGCATTGTTTGACGAGACGATGTACGAAACTAAACCCCATATCGTTTCAGTTTAATTTAAATCTGTAATGGCTTTACTTTCATCCTAGAAAAATATTTCAAGCTACTTGTTTGTTCATAGGATCGCAAGAAAGGGAGCAGCTTTAAAGTTTTAATGAGCGAAGAAGCCATTTCAATTTTTAGTTCGTACAATTTTTATTCGAGGAAAATTTGGAAGAGTCGATGAACGTAGTTCAGGCTCTTTAATAGGTCGTCATGATTTTTTTTCGCAGCAAAAGGATCAAAATTTCTTCAGGCTCAAATTCATTCTTTTTTGCTATTTGACCTAATTCTTTTCAAGTTCAAATACTTTCTTTATTGGAAGGAAAACTCGAACAGAAGAATACAGAAGAACTATCGAACAGAAAAAGTGTACACGTCACGAAAAACGTGATCGAATTAGTTTCGAAAAAGGAATTGACTATCACTGACTCTTTTCCATTTGTCTCTTGGCTATGTTTTCTTTTATTCCTTGTATTATAGTATTATAACTCTCTTTTTTCCAACCTAAGTGGCAAATATTGTTGTGATGCAATTGTTGCGACCAAAAGTGTTCATTTTGATCCAGCTATTAATTGCAGCCAATGCAAAGGATATTAACACAGACTATTTAATTACAAATTACTTTTTAGCTTCAAGGTATCATGGATCTGTAGCGTAGAGGTAGGGAAGGAGACCAGCAACAAAATAAAAGGGTTCGAACTTTGGGAGGATCGGATGTTTAAAATTTACTTTTTCGTATACTAGTTAAAATGCGTCTGTTCTATAAATTGAGACATGTTAGTTGGTAAATTTCTTTTTTTTAAATAAATTGACTGGTACTGCTAATGCGTCATAACTGAATTGCGTCATTTAGCATGTATATAGACTCACAATTGGTGTGCGTCTTTTAAGAAACTTTGTAGACTCAAAGTTTTGCTCCCATTAGCGTTATCGGGAATATTTTTTGCTTTTATATGCGAAGTTCTACTTCGCATGCGTAGAGAATTCAATTTGATTTCTATTTTGGCTCGCTGTTCAAATGATAGTAGAGCTCATATTACACGCTCTGGTAAAAAAAAGGGATTGGCTTTTAACTTTCACTATCGAATGTGGCTTAGCAAGCGTTTTCAAATCGGAACATAGACTTTTTTCTTGTAAATAACTTAATTTAGCAAAATCACAGAATCATCGCAAACACTCTTATTTCGCCGATCACGAGACATATTTTGAGCATGCGTTTATTTTTAAAAATGTTTTCATATTAATGCTTTCATTTGCGTGAGCAAGCGTCTTGTAATCGGGATCTAAAAATTTTTCACTTTAGCAACTTTTTTTTTACTAGAAATTGAACTTGCTTTCATATTGAACCCAAACAATTTCTAGGATCCTTCTCTCTTGGCCTGGAGATAACGCGGTTGCTTTGGCATCCTAAGGCCTGCGGTCCCGGAAGGACCTTGTTTTCGTCCGATACAAATTGAGTTGTACTTTCGTTTGTCTGTTCAAGTTTTTTTTTGGCTTTGGTGTCTCATCACGAGTTTTTCTTTTGCTGTAAGCAGTTATCCTGGTAGTTGTAAGTGTTGATCTTTGTTGCTTCAGGATTTTTTTCAGGGGAACTTTAAAAAAATTTTTATACTATCTTTTTTATCGGGTCACCTAGTGTCCTCTCAAAGATTGTCGGCCTCGTTTTGTTTCCGCTTCCTACGTTTTGTTGCTTTTTACCCTTCCGATAAGCAAGTGTAATGCAATCGTTTACTATACTCTTCCAATAAATAATTTTGTTCACAATCGTCAAAATTATTATAGATAATTCAGGTTCAGTTCATATTGAATTCGAATGTTTTACTGTCTTTGGCACACATGACCTGGAGGAAAAGGATAAACCTTAGGCGGTCCTGGTTCAAAATAAACAGGACCTGTTTTTGGTCTTGGGTTCCAAACTGACAGGACCTGGGAAATATTCCTTCAAAAAATTATCGGCTTATTATTTGCCTGCTTAGGTTATGTCCGCTTAGTTGCCACATCGTAGTGTTTTTTTTTGCTTCACGCTTTTTTATTGTGGTTGAGTTATTTCTGCTGTAATTTCTTCACTTCGTATATTTTTCTTTTTTTTTTCGCTCAAAAACATTATTTCTGGCCGAATGATTTCGGCTTTAATGTTATCGACTTATTGACCTAATTTTGTGTCCATTCAAAGCAAACACAATTTTTATGTTCACTTGATCGCACAAATAGCAAAAATCTTTCTAAAAATAATAGCTCAAGATTTTCATGGCAACATTTTTTTCGGCTTAATAGGTTACTGGCCTAAATTATATCGGCTTAATGGACCCATTTTGCGTCTTTTGACGAGCGTAAAACTTTTGTATGTGTGTGTGTGTGAGTTTTGAGAGAGAGACGGACTTGTAAACTTTTTTAAGTCTTGTCGATTTTTTTTGTCTTAAATGGTTTCTGCTCAGGTATTTTCTGCTTTGTTTCCGCTTGGTAACTTTTCTTGCAATTCAAATTTCACATTTTGTTAACCTGCCATGTTTTTATTTACTAGGCTCATTGATAGACCTAATTTTTTTTGACATTTCAGAATTTTAATTTAATTTTTCGCACTTAGCGGCTTTCTGGTTATGTATCGCAAGTGGTGCAAAGCGCAGCTTCGCCTCTGTGTTTAAAATTCAAATGACTTGCTTGGCATGTTTGCCTAGAATTGCTGTTTGTTAGAAACATGTATTGTTAAAATGTTTGGTGTTGGGTTTTTTTTTAAATTTTTAATGGTGCTTTGGATTTTTTTTCATTTATGCAAAAATTTTAGTATCTCGGAAACTGCTCAGCCGATTTTCAGAATGGTATCAATGGTAATAAATTCTTTAAATATTTCAGCTTCAATTGCTTGTTGTTTTGCGCGTTTGTAACTATTTTAATCAAATTTAACTATAAAAACAAACAATTTGTTCGGGAAAACTGCAGAAATACTTAGAAAATTTTTTTGTTTTTAGATTTCGTTACTTCAATCTCCGATACCTTGAACATATTCAAATACCTTGTACAACCTAGTTGTAATGAAAACAAAGATTTTATTTTGTTATAGTTTTGTTCGGCTCTATTTTCCTTTTTTATAAAAAATTGTTTGGTTCCTGATTTTTTTAGATGGTTATACGCTTAGTAATTCTTCCTGTTAAGCATAATTTTTTCATGTATTTTTTTTTCATTTTACCGTTTTTGACAAAAAATTATTGGTTTTATTGATCGTCTTTTTTTAACAACTACAGTCTTTAAAATTAAAATGCACAGCCTTTGTTAGAAATCTTTCTGCGTTCATTACACATTCTAAATACCTTTTCGATCGTTTCCAGATGTTTTGAATAGGATTGAAAATGTATTTTTTGGTTTCAGCTCTACTGTGAAGTACATTTGGTTATGTTTCATCTGATGATACTACGCAGTTCCAAAAAGCATTCATTAGAAACTTGTTGAAAAAGTATTTAAGTCATCTAATGTGTTCTGTTATCAGATTTAAAAAACTTAAAGAAGTTTTTCTTCATAGTCCAATTTTTTGTCCAAAGTTGTTTTTCTTTAAAGTCCAATTTTTTGTCCCGAGCACTTAACGAAGTGGAAAGGAATTGTGGCGTGTTTTTTTTTCATTTGTTTTTCCTATAAGGAACGCTGACGTGTAAGCCGGAATGCTCTTAGGTATTAAAGCTTGATATCATATAAAAAACCCTAAGCTCTATTTTGACAAATAAAAAACCTAGAAAATGTCTGTTTTTCGAAGCAAATGGCACAAATTATTTATAAATAACTTGATGAGAGAATGTACTCTCAATTTTTTTTACTACTGTAATTTATACTATATTTTTGCTTTTATTGCATCTGATTTGGCGTATCTGTAATATATCAATCAGCCTTTACGGTAAAAAAAATACAGAAATTTTTGGGAAAAATGGACAAAAATGAATATTTTTTAAACTTAGTTTTGTCTTATGTTTGGGTTTCTATACTTCAATCGTTGGCCGCAAAATTGTGTGCTATTTGCACGGGAGCCGGCTATGTTTTTTGTTCTAATTTTTGATTGTTTTCTCTAAATTCTACAATTAAACTTTGATATCTCATTTCAATTGTTTCTGAAAAGATCCTACAAAATTTTCTTAGAAGTTTATGGACGAGCAAAATCAATTTCAAGCTTTATCAATTTATCAAAATCTAAAGGTAGGTGGCAAATCATTGAATATCGTAAGAGCTTGAAGTACTAAAAAAGATAACCTTTTAGGTGGCGACATTCCGAGATGGTGGTGTATGAACCCTAAGTTCGCCTTGTCTCATTTTCAATTGCGAAGGAGGAAATTTTTGAGGCAAATCGAGCTTCGTTTCAATAAGATGGCAAAAACATTTTCTTTGAGTAACACTTACAGCTTGAATATCTTAAACAATTATAATATCAACGCATTATTTGAAAGAAAGAAAGAAAGAAAAAGAAAGAAATAAAAAAAGAAAGAAATAAAAAAAAGAAAGAAGGAAATAATTAATTCATTCGACTAAATAGTTAGCATGTCAAATAATCTTTAAATTAGCTTCAACCAAAAAAGAATCAGAATGAAACCCCAGCGGTTACCGACTGATCCAAGCGCCTGCTTTCGAATAAACTGCATAAGTTTATCTAAAAATTGAAAAAAGTGCTAATGATACTTCATGGGGTCTTGCAGCGAAGCGATACCTAGTCCTGACGGTAGAGCAAAAGCATGCAAGTTTCAAAAGAAGTTTTAAATACAGGAGTGAAAAATGACTGAGTGCATCACATCTTCGCTCTGAATTAGGCAAAAACTTGAAAATTCAGCCTTTTTCTCTTACTCGTTTAGAAAACTTCGTACTTTTTGCAGAGTGCATAACGACTGAAAGGGTTTTGGTTTGATGAATCATTCCATTTCATCTGAACATTATTTGTCGTGGCTCATTTTTCATACAAGAATAAAGTTTAAGTTTCAGTAGTCAGAACAAAAATTTGAGTTTTCCGTTACTTGATTGAAATTTCAGATAATTGGTTGAAGGTTGTGAACTTGAGAAAAAGAAGTGCTAAAAGACGTGGTAAATTGTTAAACTATTCAGTCCTGGCGGTGTAATCAAACCTTCGGAGACTGCTTTTTGAACTATTCATTAGCGATTTTCATGAATGTTCCAAGACAATTTAAATAATTTGAAGCAGAGTTTTAGAACAAAATAAAAATATCAAAAACGTTATTTTGAAACATTGAAGGCATCGCTGTGACTGTAAAATTAAATAAACTGAAAAGGTGTGTGTTTGTGGGAGAGAGTGCATGTGAAAAGAGACTTATTTGTCCGGTAATCAGTTACCTGTTGGGAGATGTCGTCGTTGGTTGCCATTCAGAAGGAGATGGAGAGTCTCATCACATTGCAGTCGGGGGCTGCTGCCAATCAGACACAACTCAACGACAAGTTCAAGGTTTGCTATGCTCCCTACAACATAGTTTTAAATATAATCAATCATTAAACTCCTTTCGAAGATTAAGATGTCGATTTTTTTAATCAGTTCTTGTAAGGTTTCTAGGAGGTAGATTATCTAGCAAAATGTGTCAAATTGCTCTTCGATCTCAAAATTGCTACTGATTGAAAGGCATTCAGTAGTGTTGACAGCTACAGTAAAATCAAAGCACCCCAAGTTCATTTTTTTAGTTCTATTTATCTCTTTTGCGAACTCTGGAAGCTACTTCTTGTTTCATGATTTTTATTGATCCAGCATCGACGGAGCTTGCTACATTCATCTCGCTTATTTCTTGCAAGGTTGCTGCAAGATTTGCACTCATCTTGCAAGGTTCACAGTCGAATTCCCATGTATAAGCAGGATTTGCATTCTCACTCAAAATATAGTTTTGTAGATTATCGAGTTTTTTTTGGTATCTTCAGTGCTTTTATAGTTTCATTTGAGTCTAGCAGATACTTTGCAAAACATATCACAGGCGATTGCTGAAGTAGGTTTCCCCCAAGAGGTGAGATAAACCGGTAAATCGTTCGAGTGTAAATGAATCGAGGCTTTCAAAAGTATATAAATGATTTTTGAAAACTTCAAAGTAGGTATATTAGTGTTAATTTCAAAAATTGTTAGTGTTATTAATCAAATTTTCTACAGCCATTTGTTAGTGTTAGTACTTTAATTTTGTTGCCGAGGAGTCTGTATCTTGCAAGATTCTCGCAAGATTTGCCCTCCCCCCCCCCCCCCCCCCTCCAAACGGAGAGTACTAATCTTGCAAGATGTGAATTCCTTCGCCTAATGATATGTTTTTGCTTGATATGGAATGACTCAGTGCCAAAGAATTTTTTGAGGATATAACAATGTCTAATTTTTCACCAGCAAAACTTTGAATTCCTGGCTAAAAAATATGCTTTATAGTTCCAGGTAAAGCTTGGATCTGAATGTTATTGTTTGATGCTTTTTGGTCTTAACTTTTACCAACTTACTGTTTTTTAAGGCATACTTATATCAAAAGGTAATCCAAAGTTTTCGTGTTCGTTTTGTGAAGATAAATTGAAACGAGTTTTTTTCTACGGTTTGATGGCATTGTTAAGAGGGGTTGGGTTGCTAAATATGGTTACGTCTCCGCCTCTCAATCGAAAGGTCGGATGTTCGAGGCCCACCATGATCCGTGCTCGTTGCTTGAGGGTGAAGCAACATTACCCAGACCAGAAAAATAACCAAAAAAATTGCATGTAGTTCTTAAACAGGGGCACAACAGCGGTTCGCCGTGATGAGCTGTACAGCTCTTGTGTTGGTCCTTTCCCCCGTGGATAAATGGTCTTTAAATATAATCGGAATCCCTTTTTGTTCATTTTAGGCGCTGTGGGCGAGTATAGTGAAGCTAGAGAAGGAGGATGACGTGGAAAGTGGCATGTGTGGCCTCATAGATTTACTAGTCAACGAGGACATGAGTGTGGTGACGTCACGACAACAGCTCACTGAACTAGTCAAGTCAGTGCTGCACTTTTGTACAATTCCATGTCCGGCAGCCCAGTTGGTGTCATCATGGTTTCCAGAGTCATTGCTAACCGCTAACTTTATTCTGGATTCCTCTAAATTTTTGATGGATAAGTTAAATTTATGTTGGAGTTCGCTAAATTTATGCTGAAATGCTGAGCTTAATGCTGATATCCACTAACTTTATGTTGGCATCCACTAAATTGATGCTAGCATCTGGTGACTTTTGATTTTGAAAGAGCGTTATGGTGACGTCATCTTTGAAAAAGTTCACAAATCAGTATGTTTTTTTGGTCTGCTTGATTTCATGAGCGCTTTTTTGCAGGAAAGTAACGCGCATCTTGGAAATTTGAAGCTCGAAGTAACACTGCTTCACCAAAACCTTTCAAAAGGAAATATTTTTGAAAAATCCTGGTCCTCCACACTTTTCACTGCGGAGCTCAAATAAAAGTGGAAAAAGGTCGAATATTAACTCAGCTCTTCAATTCTTGTTTCAAAAATTGACTGAATTTTCTAAAGCTGAAATCATATATAGTAAAATCTGAGCCGCTGCTTTTTATCTTGAATTTAGTCAAATTTTGATTATACTCATTTCTCTATTCAAAATCATTCGTCTATGTGATAAAAAATACGGTGTTTACTGGAACTATTATTTGTTGCTTGACTTAAGTTTTCGAAAATGGATTTTGATTTTTAATTGGATTTATCCGAACGCTGAAAGTTGTTAGGATTTTGTATTCAGGTTTTTCAGATTTTTCCTTCCACGCAAAATGCGGCCTAACAAATGATCATCAGAATAGGTCGAGTGATAGATCATATCACAGCCATTTTGAGTCGTAATTCGATCTATGTTTAAAAGTTTTTGCGGTGTTAAGAAAAACCGGTTTGAAGTTTTTGCTTTTTATAGTCCATTTGAGCGAGTAAAGCGAAATATTCCTAACTAAGATAAAAAACTTCGTTTTAGCTTTGGAATTTGAATTTTAGTTTTCTGTTTGCGCTTTCCCAAGACAAATCATTTCAAGGGAGGTCAAAAATTCCAAGGCTTCAAAAATTACCAAATTACAGCACAAGGCGTTTTTTCAATGCGGGGGGGGGGGGTGCTCAAAAATATCAGGGGGGTCCCGCAACTTGGATCAATTCGGATAATAAAATGGTAAAATTGAGCCGACGAAAAAATGTTGAACAAATTTCAGTTATTTAATCCAGGCGAAAATTGTTTTGCGTTGATAAAACAGTCTTTTTTTATTTGGAGCTCTCACAAATGGCATAATTTTTATATAACTTTGTTATAAAAGTTTACAATTCAGACCCCGCAAAGTTTGGACGTGTCACTCCTCTAGGAGTGGAGGAGGGTGCTGGGGTGGGTTGGGGTCTATGAAGAAGTCGATCTGTGTTGCGGGGCGGGGTCCCCACATTTATGTAGTGCAATGTACTAACTATCAATATCTGCAAAAATCTTTTAAAAAATGATTCCAATTATGTTTTCGCTATTTTTTTTAAAGTCACTATATTCAATCATAGTTTCTACTAATGTACTAGGAAATTTTAAGTTCTTCTTCTCAAACCACGCACCAAAAGTGATTCAATTTGAAAAAAAATCTAAAAAGAATGTTTTTTTTTGTTCTTTCAAAAACAATTGTGGTCGGAACATTCTGTGCTATTCTTATTTAATTATTGGCTTTTCACACTTGCTAAGCCAGGTGTATTAGTACGAACTTTCTTTTTTTTCCAACCTAAGTCGCAAATATTGGTGCAACTTTTGGAGGACCTCTACAGCTTTTGATAGCATTTGAGTTGACATTTGATTAGTAAAAAGTTAACACGGCTGATGCATTTTTGATTCATCAAATGAACCGAAAGCAGTTATTTGTTTCAAACAGCAATACCATGATAAAACGCTCGATTTAAGAAATTTTCTAACGCAAAGTATCTCGCATTTTTTTTGAAATGCATAATTTATACAATTTGGCTTTATGCTTTCCAATTTATTACATGCAAAATTGTGTCTTTTTGTATTTGGTGCTACTTATGCTGCATCGAATTGGCAATTTAGTAGCATATGTAGCTGCGTTATTGGTGGCTAATTTTTGGGAATTTGAAGCATGAGTGGTTAGTGCGTGAAACTCAAATTTGCTAGGTTGCTGATTCGAATCCGACACGCAGCCGTTTTTACTATTTCGAGGCTTTTTTCAACTTTTTCTTATTTCAACTGATAGAGCAATTGATTGGTCGTGTTCTTGCAAGTGTTTGCGAAGCGCAGCTTCGCATATGTATTCAAATCTTCCCATCTTGTAACTTTCGATTTTTTGGCCATTTACTCGCATATTTGAAACAGTGCGTGATAGTCTGTTTGTTAGTATATGTAAATAATGAAAAAAAAAAATGCTCGGGGTGGTTTTTTTTCTTCAGACAAATTTCGGCTGTGTAACTAGACACTTATGACAGAATGTTTTTATATCATTCGAAAGGTACTGTTTTCCTGAGCTTAAGTTTTTAAAAAAAATAGGTCACCTGTGATCATTTTTCGTAAAGTTATGGGGGTTTAAAGATTGCCATTTGGGACAATTACCGCGCGATATGTTTCACGCTATTATTGCGTATGCGGATATTTAATCCGTCGTAAAGATTGTTCCAAATTTGTTGAAAGAAGCTTACTTGCGATCATTGATTTGTTACGAGGACCGAAATCTATAACTTGGTATTTTAATGGTGTCTCACAAAAAATCTCAGTTCAAAAAAACTTCGTTTTGTTTCATTACATTTACTTTTTTTTCATGTTATTTCTGCTCCATAGACCATGAAAGGTAGTCGAACTGTTCAGGGCTTCGCACTGATATGAGCAGTTTTGTTTTCTTTGTCATACAGTGCTGACATGTACAGTTCAGATTATCCGGACAAAATTAATAAAACTTGAAATTTAGTTTTTCTCAACTGGGTTGATTTTTGACAAAAAATGATAAAGCTCACTTGCTTAAATCTTTAATATAACTATTATAATGCGATTTGTTTGCATAATTTGAGCCCAATAAAGTTTAACGAGGATATAATTTTCTAAAGTTGTCTAAATATATTTATTTTCGTTTGATAGCCAAAAAGTGCCATTTAAAAAAAAATAACAGTTTTTAAATCTTTTGCGCCCCTTTTGGAGATAACAACCCTCTTAAATTTTGTTGGGCTATATAAGAAGCTCGCAGTGATATAGTTTTGTCAGTAAATAATCAAATAGGTTCAGAGTAATTTTTGATTGACTAAACAAAGCCAAAAAGGATCGTTTTTGGGGTAATTTTTTGGGCCTGAATTTTGCAAAACAGGGCCCGAATTTTGCAAAACAAATTGAACCATATAAATTATGTTAAAATTTTAAGCAAGGTTGGTCTTCATCAATTTTTAACTTAAATTAACCCAGTTCAAGAAAAATTTCAAGTTTTATTAATTTAGTCCGTATAATTTAAATCCGCGCTGTACTTGTGGCTTCAATGTGATGTAATTTGTTCATTGAAACTCAAATACGCATTTCGTTGCATTTTCTTATAATTTTTGAAAGTTAAGTATGACTTTTTTTCTTATGTTTTTCTGCTCATTTAATTAAGAAACCGAGACTTCTTGTTTTGTATAGTTTTCATACTCCGGATGTCAAAATTGTAATTCGCTTAACATATCCAGTGGTGACCAATATAGCCATTTGTTTAGCAATTGGTTTCAAAAATGGTTTGTTAAACTGATTTAACCAATAACCAATTGGGTAAACCAATTTGGTTAAAAGTATTTCAATTGGTTAATGGTTAAAAAATCGATAACTTTTTTTTAACTGGACATCACTGAAAATATCGTTTTTTTTTAAACTCCCCCTCCTCCACGTCACATGAGCGTCAATTTTATGGTGTAACGAGTGGTTTTACAAGGTATGAAGACTAAATATATTGGTCATGGCCTAATAATTATACATGGTATCTTTTATAACAATCGTACAATGTTAACAAAAAATTTATGTTGATACGCTTGTTTATTGAACTATTTATTGCCTAAAATATCTTTATCGTTTTGTCTGTGTGTTTATGTAGTAGCCTGCAGCAGTTGTCCAGTGTAGACGTGGTGAAGGGAGTGGGACTGTATGCTTTGGACAGGATGCAGCCCAGAGTGTTGTCTTTCGAGGATCAAGTGGCCTCTCTCAGACAATACATGGCCACTGTGTACGAGAAGGAACACAACTGGAGACAGGCCGCAAGCATTCTGGTTAGTAGTCACAATAACTCAATCAAATAGTCACGTTGCCATTTATTAGGACTATTCCCGTAAGGGTTTTATCGAACATGATAGTACTTAAACATTGGAAATACAAAACAGTAGAAGACAATCAAAGCTTCAATCGAAAGGTATTTTGAAAAGAAGCATATTACAAGTGTCGAAGAAAGTTGAGAGCATATAATACTAAGAACTGACCGTATTGCATCAAGTAAAACCATCAAGCTTCCTTAATCAGTACCCGTAAATTTTGTAAGTAATCAATCACTCCGGCAATTAAAATTACTGCCTATGAACCAGTAGTGGATTTAGGGGGGGGGGGGGGGAGCGGACGCCTCTCCTCTCTCAGGGATTCGACCCCCTACCGACCCAAAGGGTTCCCCCTTTGAACTGTTCTGAGATATCAGTTTTTGGCTAACTGACCTTAAAACTTTTCTGAAGGTGCCTTGGGCGCAAATCTATAATAATTTTGAGGGGAGCGCGCGCCGAAAAAACGCGATTTTTTGGCCGAATTTTTCCAAAAAGTGACTAAAAACGCCTTTTTGGCCTTTGATTCTCTCAATTTGTCTGCAGCGCAGAAAATTTGGTCTTATTAAGGTCTTTATAGGGGTTTGGGAGAGCTCCCATCGAGAAATTCCTATATCCGCCCCTGCTAGCTATGAACTGTTTCCCCAATAGCATTTGTTTATTAACAAGGTAAGCTGGTTACCATGGAAGTAGCACATAATGTTCCAAGTATGGTAATTAAAGCAGAAATCTTATGTGCTACTTCCATGGTAATCAGCTTACCTTGTTAATAAACAAATGCTATTGGATAGCAGAAATTGATTCAGCTTTAGTTCTGGTAAATTTAGCTAGTTCAGAGTTAATTTGGGTAATTATAACTTCCTCCCGCTAAAAATCAAGATAGAGTGAGTTATTCAATACAGATTCTACTCACCCGCTGAAAGTTAGTCAGAAAGACGCAAATATTCAGACCAGTTTTTCATCTGAACAATGAAAGCTTTTCTCATATGTCTTTTTTAGAACCGAGTCACGACCTGTGGGGCGTTAATTAACTAAGCAGAGCGTTAATTAACTAATTCCTTTTTTTTTTCAGTTCACTTCGCAACTAAAAGTGCTCATTAATTTAGTGGCACTTAAGCAGCTATAGCATCATATCTGGTTTACTTTAGCATTATCTTTGTATCTGTTTTTTTTGGAGGCGGGTGTTTCAAGATTGACGAGCGCGCATGGTCTAGATGCTAGAACGTATATATCTAAATCTCCATGACGGGGTTCGACTCAGGTACATTGCAGATTTTTCAAAAGTTTTTTTACCTTTTCCTTTTTCAACTCAAATTTTAAATAAAAATGCTCATTTGGTGGCCCTTTATGGATATTTTGAACATTGACAACTTAATAACATATGTAGCTGCTTTATTGGTGGCTAGTGTTAGTGTTTTTCCAAGCGACCGTGGCGCAGATGCCAGGACGTGAGACTTCTAATTTACAGGTCTGAGGTTCGAATCTGAAAATGTGGCTTAAGTTCATATTAAAATTTTAGCGGAATGAAAAAGTTAATTTTCGATCCAGTTTGCTCGAATTAGGTGTTTTATCAGAAACGTGCAAACAAAATCTAAACGGTTCGTAAATTTGAAAGAGCTTTAAGGTGATATTTCTTGTTTTTCGGAAGTGAGAAAATGTTTTAAAAAGATTTTGTTTTAGTTTTTTTTTAGTTCTTTGACTCTGTTTCATCCGTCTCTTTGCTGTGTTTTCAAAGCACGTTTATTTTCTATATGGGCAGCAAGTGCCTAGGAAATTAGACGACAAGCAAATTAGACGACTGTAAAGAAACGGAATTTGAGAACTACCATTATTTACTCAGCCAAAAAATAATTTAAGTCTTTGAACAAAATCCACGCAATTTGCACGCAAGTTATTGTCTAAATTGGACAACCAGTATTCACTCAACCAAAAGATATTTTAAGTCGGTCAACAAGTTTCACGCAATTTGCGCGCAAATTATTGTCCAAGTTCTGTTATTTTCTGATAGTCTAATTTCCTGTCGCCTAAGTTCCTAAACCCCGGGCAGCAAATTATGGTCTCTAATAACAAAAGTGCAAATGGCCCAAAAATGTGTTGTGACTTGTTTAAAAGTTAGATTTTCAATTATAGAATTCTATTCGTAATACATTTTTTGAAATTTAGTGGGTTCGTTTCGAATTGGGTGGGTTAAAAAGTGTCAGCCATAACTCAATGAAATTCAGGAGCTCTCAGCTCACATTTTTCCGCCTTATTGGGTTTGAAGTAGTTCGTTATCACTTTTTCAACTGTCTGCTGACCGTTTCTGATCATCGAATCTTTCTGCCGTTAAGCAGTTATGTAATGCACATATTGTGCATGCTGACTGGCTAAATAGGACCTGTTCATCTACTTTCACCTGCACTTTTTGTGATATGATTAGGTTGGCATTAAGTTCGATGGGCAGAAGAAGTACGCTGCCGACTACAAGATGGAGACATATCTACAGATTGCTCGTCTCTACCTGGAGGACGACGACCCAGTCGAGGCTGAGTCATACATTAACAGAAGCGGACTTCTATGCCACGACGTCAAAGTCAGTCTTTGTTTTTCGCTTTTTTTCTAGTGCAAATCAATAGAAGTTACAAACAAGCATGTAAACTCACAAGCTACAGCGGGAAGCAAATAGACCTTTTTTGCTAATAAAGCGACCCTATCAAATAGTAAAGCGACCCGACGGGATTTCACAAAAGTTACTTCAATGTATCGGTCAGGCATACTCGCAAGTAAACAACAGCATTACGGTTTATGTAGCATTTTTTGCTTCTTTCTCTTGTGATTAATGTTTTTTTTTTAACATGCGTGAACGCAAGCTCAAACAAAATTTTTGTAGACATTTCAAATACTAATTTGAACTCTTGAGAGGAATGATTGATTTCGAAAATTTAATTAGGTTTTTCTTTCGAAAGTTTCTCACATTTGTTGCATTTTCCAGGATGAGAAGCTGAACATCCTCTACAAAATGTGTTACGCTAGAGTGCAGGACTACAGACGCAAATTCGTAGGTGGGTGGATCTCAAAATACGCTTGATTTTTGAGGCTGTTCTTTGCGAAAAGTTGCAGTACTTATTTGGGTTTCTGCGCAAATGACGCGAACTTTTAGTTACCTATTTTTTTCATCATCAACGCAGAACTTCGGTGAGCCTCGGTTGCTCTAGAAAAAGATTAACTTAGGTTAAAATTTGCTAATCGGTTAAATTTGCTCAATAAATTTCGGGCTCTTTGTATATGGCCACAACTACTGTTGACATAACAGCACGGATAGTATGATACAAGATAAAACCTTAATAGCTTCACGAAATTCTTGTTCCTGCCTTGAACTGCGTTAGTGGTTCGAGGTTGTCTGTTTATGACTCTTCCGTGACACTCACATTGAATATCTAAACATGATTTTTGGCGACTTGATGGAGTCAACTGGCAAATAAAATTGTCTTCGAAGTAATTGGAGATTGCCGTAAAGGAACCGGGGCCTCTAGACTTTAGTTTTCAAAAGCTATCTAAACGTGTTTTATCGGTAAACACGCGTAGGTAATTTGATGCGTTTCCGTTATCGCAGATGTCACCAATTGTTTTGGAACAATTAAAAAAATGAAGCTTGACGTTTTCATTGATGGCGCTTTTTACTGCCGTTTCGAAATCGAGCGTTACTCTCTTGTTCAAATCGTTTTGGAGGCAATCAATTCATTTACGGTGTCTCCTGTTTGTTTGTCAGGCAGCAAGCGCAAGTTACGGGGAACCCACAACGCACAATCGAGATGTGACTGGTGTAAACTTGGTAAAGGTACTCTGTGCCGTCGAGAAGGTGCCGTACCAATTATTTAATTTAGAGTGCTGCTGCAGTGTGTCAAGAACTGGCAGTGTTGCAAAAACTAAACATGGTTTTTCATCTTCGATGAACGAATCAAGGAAAAGAAAGTACGCTTACGATTTCAATATTTTTGCTCTGAAAAAACTGAAGTTTGCTATTACACCAGCACTAACAAATATCCCCAATCATTGGATAATGCACTCCATTTTTCTTGATGCTTTCAAATTGCCTAAGATAACTCCAATCCGCAAAGATGGTGATCTCTCACAACCGGGAATTTTTAAACCCATTTCAATACTTCGCACTCCAAGTAATTTTTTTGAGCGTTTGCTCTATAATCGCATAACTAGTTATCTTGAAAAATTCAATCTCCTTACACCAAATCATTTTGGTTGCAGACAAAAATTGGGAACTTTTGATGTACTAATAGAGCAATCTCAAAACGTTTGGAGTATCTGGGAAAACAAATTTAAAAATGTTTTTGAATTTTTATTTGTGAATTAAAAAAAAGCGTTCGTTACTGTTGAGCATTCTATCTTATTCGAAAAACTACACAGTTTCGGAATTAGAGGGAGAGTGATTTACCTAATTAAATCCTATTTGAAATCAAGAAGTTAGTTTACTTTTATAGAGACGTTTACTTTGGAAATAGAAAAAAATGAGTTTGGAGTTCCCCAACGCTCTATCCTTGGTCACCTACTCTTCATTATTTACATGAATGATATTGATACATGTTGCAACCATCTTCATACTATTCTTTACGCGGACGATACAGCTCTGATAAATCGGAAAATGGTACGCTGAACTGCATCAAGTAAACAATTGGTTAATTGAAAAAGGGCTTTCCCTTAACACTGACAAAACTAAACTGGTTTATTTGAAAAAATCCAGAAAAACAAAAAAGTTAAATGACAAAAAGAGCGGAAATTATATAGAAAGCGTTTCAAATTTTAAATACTTATGAATGTACTTAGATCGCAAATGTAATTTTTTGAGCGCATAGAAGTACTAGAGAAAAAATTCGTTTCTCTGTAATTTTTACCGATTAAGTAAACCTTAAATTAAAAACAACTAATGAGAGCATACAAAGTTGAGTCTAACCATTAATTCAATCTGGTGTCCTGCTTTACGGAACAGCTAATAGGACTAAGATAATTGACTTAGGAAAAACACATCGGAGGTTAGTTCGGATAATGTTTCGTAGGAAAAAAATCAGTCATTAAAAAACATAATTAATCAGCATAAGTTATTGTTAATACAGAACTTACATCGATATGAAATATTGAAGCTTTCAAGCAAAGTATTGTATGTTGATAAAATAAGAAATGCAATTAAATTTTTTCTAAAGATTTATTTGGATAAGCTTGCTAGCAGTCCAACTTGTTCACCGAAGGTAATAAGACTAAAATAATTGAGTTAGGAAGAACACGTCGGAGGTTAGTTCGGATAATGTTTTGTCGGAAAAAATCAGTCATTAAAAAAGATTATTTTTCAACCTAAATTATTGTTAATACAGAATTTACATCGATATGAAATATTGAAGTTTTCAAGCAAAGTATTACATGTTGATAAAATAAGAAATGCAATTAAATTGTTTCTAAAGAAGATTTGGATAAGATTGCTAGCAGTCGGACTTGTTCACAAAAGCTAATAAGACTAAGATAATTGAGATAGGAAGAACACGTCGGAGGTTAGTTCGGATAATGTTTTTAAGGAAAAAAATAAGTCATTAAAAAACCTTATTATTCAACATAAATTATTGTTAATGCAGAACTTACATCGACATGAAATATTGAAGCTTTCGAGCAAACTATTACATGTTAATAAAGTAAGAAATGGAATTAAATCTTTTATGAACAAAGAAGATGTGGATAAGCTAGATAGTAGTCGGACTTGTTCACAAAAGCTAAGCTCGAGGCAAAACGCATTGACAACGCAAAATGCGTTTGTGGTAGCGGTCTATCCGTAAACAATTGAGTTTCATTTTTAAAAACTATCCGGATTTGATCAATAATCTTTCCAATAGCAGTTTGGACCATTATCGTCATAACTTTCTTGACAATTTTTTTCGGGGTTGTTCGGATTTTTTTCTGATAATTTTTGTGGATTTAAACCAGGGTTTTTAGGCTAACTGTAGTGTTGTTTTCTCGAGGCATGGGTCATTCTTTTGTAAGAAGGAATTCTAAAATTATCAAAAAAATCAATATTGAGATTTCCCATAATTTGTTCTGCTTTCTGAGGCATCCCTCGGCAGATTTCGTTTGAAGTTGCCCTGTCAAACCTGTAATAATCACATTTTAATGAACTTAATTTTGTGTATATAATTGGCTTGAAAACCATTTATGATAAATACTATAACGCTACCTTGAGTTCATCTCAAATTTTGAATCTATTCAGTTTTGTCGGTGCAAGGATTTGGAAGCTCAGTTTCTATCTCAATCAGTTTACTGTTCTCTGATAAGCCTGAAATTTCTCGGTTAAATGATCGCTGGGTACAAAAGTCGTTCTTTTGGTTAGGGCTTCTTGGCTCCTGCAGCGCAATTTTTGACTTTTCCTTGGAATTTTCGGGTCTCAGTTTCATGTAAAGGTGTTGTATCTTTTTTGATCTTCGTTATCGAAAACTAGAACGCGATTCTTGCAATGTCTTAGCGGAAAACGCCATGAACATGACGGGTTTTTATATATCGCATTTTTTTCTATAAATATTGGCTTCAAATACTTGCATTTTTTTGTTTAAGAGCGATAAGCGTATTGGAGACTCTTATATAGGTCTTGCTGATTTTTTTCTTGCTTTTTTGCAGGAAAAGTTTTTAAAGTCGCTAATAACTACCGATGTGCATTCATACATATTGATGCATCTATGAATGCACTTAGGTATATTTGCACTTTTGAGTTTAATTGAAATTCATCTGCTGCAAGTGACGTAAATAGCACTCTCTTAATACGAAGGTGGAAATGGCGCGAAAAAATGTGAACGTTTTCTAGTTTCGGAAGTGGAATTTAGTTTTTAGATTTCCAGCGGAATCAAAATTTTACCTATTGATCCAGTTTTCTTAAGTCGGGTTCAATTTATCATAAAAGCGCCAATCATAACTTGTTCTAGAAATTCAAAGAGCTTAAATGGCGTTTATTTTTTTCTCTGAAATTCGAAAGTTGAGATTTTTTTTCAAGAAAGTCAGTGTCTTTTTATGTTTACTTGCGTTCATTACTCTTTTCCAAACGTCAGTTGGCTATGTTTTCATTTGAGTTAGTTAATGTTTTCATATATCTCGGCTTATGGTTATTTCTAATTTTCGGAAGTTTTTAAACAAGATTTGGTCTGTGATGATTTTGGCTGGTGTGTCATACAAAAAAGTTCATTCAAAAAAAATTACTGACTGATTTAGTGCGGAATATGTAGCGTCTCTGAGCTTTTGTTCATTCGTTCAGTTGTTTGTTGAATTAAATCCTTTGTATTATTCTGTATTTAGATGCGGCGCAGCGGTACATAGAGCTGTCATTCAAAAACATGGTGCTTCCTCAGGAGAGACTGAATGCTTTGAAGTTGGCCATCGCATGCGCAATTCTAGCGGGCGCCGGTCAACAAAGGTCACGCATACTGGCCACTCTCTACAAGGTAAGCTCAGGAATATATTTCTGATATATGCTGAAAGGGGTGTGTTTGCAAAATTTTTAAATCTTGCGATTAGCCAGCGTTATCAAATCGGAATATAGACTTTTTTCGAGTTAACAACTTGTTTAACAGAATCACTTAAATCTGCTCTTTTCCACTCCCCACATTTGAAATTTGCCATTTTCTCGTTTGCTTACGTGTTATTATGGCTGAACGCGTGATGTTACGAAGAACGGTATGTGGAACAAGTATGTTGACAATAGTAAAATTGTTTTTTTTTAAAACTGAAATTCAAATGTGTGCGTGTGGGGGGGGGGGGGAGGTGGAATAGAATAGAGCCCTTAAATCACTTGGTATCTTCGTTCATTTTAGTCTTGAGGTAACGAATACGCCTGGGACGGCAAAGGTCTGCGTTCGAATCTGACCAGGACCTATTTTTTTTTCAAACGGGAAATATTCCGTTTCAAAGAAATTTTCGGTCATATCTAGAATTTTTATATCGTAGATTTTTTTCGCTGTTTGCAGTTTTCTATGTTGTTTTCATTAGTAATTCTACTAGCCTTGAATTCGTATATTTTTCTTTGTTTTTTTTTGCTTAAAAATTTTTGCGCCCTAAATGATTTCGGCTTATATTTAATCGGCTTACTGGCCTTATTTTGGGTCTTTCGAGGCAACCATATTTTGTATGCTTTCGTACGGGTCGCACAAAGCGTTAAAAATATCAGAATAGATTTTATAGTTCAAATTTTTTTATGATAGGATAGCAATTTTATTATCGCTTGTTAATTGTTTTTAAATTTTCATGAATAGCTGTTAAATGTGTTTTCTGCTAATAGAACATCATTCCAGACAACGTTTTGAAGTTTTTTATTTGTGGTTTCTTCGAAAAAAATTTTGGTGTCGCAAGTAATGCGAAGCTCCGCTTCGCCTCGGTGTTTGAATAAACCAATTTGAATTTCCGTGGTGTCCCAAAGATCGGAGGAGTCGATATTCTAATCGAGGACTATGAATAAGTGGATTGGTGTTGTGGGAGTTCTGGCAATGAAGTGAAGGAAAGTAATACATGAAAGTTCTTGATGCTCGTCGAAATATTTGTCTGGATTTGAGAAAGTTATTATATTATACTGGACTATCCTTAGAGAGGTCTTTCGTGATTCGCAGAATTGAAATTATTGATAATTATTAATCCGCTACTAGATAGGCTAGTTGTTTAAAAACCAATGCTATCTTCTGGTATTATCAAGAGAAACAAAAAACAAATATTTGCATTTTTCTCCTTCAATCACAGATCAAGCTATCATTTGGTTTTTAAAGTCTTTTGGTTTTTAAAGAAGCTAAAATGAGTGAATTGGTCGCGAAAGTTGATCAGATTCAGCTTAAACGGATGGGTTCTCGAAGATAGTGTATTTGAGAGTGATGACATTTTAATTTCTGTGTGCAGGACGAGCGTAGCCAGCAGTTGCCCTCTTTCCCTATTCTGGAGAAGATGTACCTGGAAAGAATCATCAAGAGGGGAGATGACCTGAACGAGTTCGAGAACTCACTACAACGTTAGTTACAGTAGCGTACCGAGGCGGGGGGGGGTTGGTTAACTCTCACGTAATATTCTGCACTAATTAAATGTTGTGACCCACGCCACACACATCCGTTTCTTCATAGAAGACAATCGATTCTACAATTTTGTGGGTATGGGTCTGAAGGGACCCAACTTGGGATTGTACACCATGAAATTTATCGCAAAATTTTTCCAATTGATGCTCCAACCATTGACTTGGGTATAAATTGTTCCAAATATGGTCAGTCGGGTGTTTTGGCAGATCTCGATAAATTCAAAATGGCTGATCTGATAAGCGATAAAATTTTTCACCCCCTCCCCGGTCAAAAATTTCCGGTGCACGGCACTGGTCAGTTACATTTCTTTTGTAAGCAGATTCAAATCTCGTTTTTTTTTGTTTTTGCTCGAATTGAATTGAAAAACTACGGGAGTTGGTTAAAACAGTCAATTGAATCTCCTATTTAGTTCAACTAAGTTCAAGGGTATTAAATGAAATCAGCTCAAAGTTATAAATTGACTGTTTTTGCCTCAGCGAAGCGTAGTGTATTATTTACACAATCAAGGAATAGTGTAATATTACGAAGAATTTTTTTTCTAACCTAAGTCGCAAATAAAAGTGCTCATTGGTGGCACTTTCGGTGTATTTCAATTTAATCATATTTAAGCATAAACAATTTAAAGGCATATGTTGCTGCTTTATTTTTGGCTAGTATTAGGTCCTATTTAAAAAAAAAATTATGAAAATGTATGGGATTTGCAGTTTTCCGTTTTTGTTCGCGACGCTTCGGAAATTCTTTGCCATTTTGCTGAAATTTCAATTTTTGAAAAGTTATCCTTTTTTTCAAAAACTAAGCTGCTGATTTTGCGATTGATAGTTTATTAAAACTAACATGGTGCTCAGATTTTTCTTGTGTAGTCTGTTTTACCCTGTTTTTTTTTGTAGAAAAGCTGATATGGACTTCAAAAAAAACTCTTTTTAAATTTATATTTTTTTTTCAAAAATTTCATCAAAAATCTCGAAAATTACTAGTTAAATTTGATATTATGGCTCCAATCTGAAAAATCAAGGTGCGGGAATCTTCAATCTAAAAATGATGTGCCGAAAGCAGAGGATATTCTCGTGCTTTAGTAGAGAAAACATATGGATTTAAGAAAAGTCTAATTTTTGATTGATTTTTGGAATCTTTTTCTTTTATTAAAAAAATACCCAGGCAAATCTGAGATAAAGACTTCAATTGAAGTTTTCTCCTTTAACTAAACGGATAATCTCTACTTAAGCAGAGAAACACTAGGGTTTAGAGTAAACGTTTTGTCTGAAAATTACGCATTTCCGTATCAGTACAAGTTGATTAAAAATTTTTGAACATGTGGGCCACTAGTTTAGTTCCAAGCGACCGTGGTACAGATGCGAGGGCGTGAGACTCCTAATCAACAGGTCGGATATTCAAATCCGGAACTTTAAAATAATTTATTTGGTCGAGTTTTTGCTGCATAAAATTGGCAATATCATAGAAACTGTAGCTGCTCTTTTGTTGGCTAATATCAGTAAAATTACTAGCGGATGTGGAGCAGATACTGTTTACTCCTGATCTCAACAAAAAAATTTCGTGTATAATTTACTCCTTATTTCACATTGTTGTGACTGCTTAGAGCTCTTTTTGCATTTGCCTTGCTTGTGTTTGCGAGGCACAGCTTTGCCTCAGTGTAACTTTGTTCACGCTAACATTGCTATTCAGTTTTTTGATTTAATTCTGTTTGTTTTCAGCCCACCAGAAGGCGTTGACAGCTGACAAGATGACGATAATGGAGAGTGCGGCGATAGAACACAATCTGCTGTCTGCCAGCAAACTGTACGTCAACATCTCCTTCGACGAACTCGCAGCTCTCCTCGGAGTGTCGGCTGAGAACGCAGAAAAGTTCGCTTCTCAGATGATTTCAGAGGCGAGCCAAGTTTCTTTGCTATTCATGAATATCTCTTTTTCTATGCTGCTGCAGTAATTTCAATTTTAAAAAATTCTTTATCGATTCTTTTGTCCCCTACACAACCCAATGGGTCTTTCGTGCAGCACTTTTTTGGTTGGTTATATACGACAAAGTTCGTGCAACTTTTGAAGGGTTGTTCGACTATATGTTCTAACTATTGTATTATGTTCTGACTTTGTATTACCATTTTACGCATTTATTCAATAGGTAAATTATTGCAACATGTGGTATATAATTAATAGTTTCTTACTGTTTTTATTATGAATCTAATTGGTTAGTTGTGTTTTGGGCGTATGAAATAACATGTGTTTCAGGGCAGAATGGAGGGCTCTATTGATCAACTGGCGCGGTTTGTGCACTTCGAGACCAGTAGTCAGACTGAGCTGTGGGACCAACAGATCAGACAAGTCTGCTCACAGGTCGGTCCTTGTTAAGTGTAAAAGAGCAAAGTGATTGTTACTTTATAGGTTGTGACGATTTTTTTGTTTTTTTTCGGAAAAAGTAAATCTCAAATTTGATTTTTTTTTGCGGTTTGAATTTTAATTTCCTTTTAAATTCAGTTCATTTCTTCTGTTAAATGGAAGGTAACTTATACTATCGAACAGCAAAAATATAAAAGTAGCAAAAAATGTGATGGCTTCTAAATTCGATGGTTGATTTTATTTTACAGATTTCCGAGCGGAGTAAAAAAATTTACCTAAATGATCCAGTATTCTCAAATTGGTGGGTTCATTTTATCAAAAAAAAGTTTCAATCATAAATTTTTAGATATTTAAAGAGCTCTAAGGATCTAAGGAGATATATGTTTTTAAAAAATGAAATTTGAAATTGAAATTTAAAAAAATCGATCTTCTGTTTTTTTTTGCGTTCCTTGATTTTTTTCCAACTGTCTGTTGGCAATGTTCTGTTTAATGTTCGCTTTTTTGCTGCGCAGTTTTGAATTCAACACTGTCCTTAGTTTTATCTTGGCTTTCAGGTGAATGACATCGTCAACCGAATTGCGACCTCACATCCCGAGTGGACTGCCAATGCATTGGACTCCCAGATGACATAGCGGAAGCGGATCATCGATGTAACGACGCGAGTCTGAAGAACATATGCGAGAAGATGTCTTTGTACTTCGGAGTTTGTTTGGACTTTTGACGCAATAGAATAGAAAAACGCTAAAAAGAAATTTTGGTAGCTGAAGTTGATGTTTGTTTATGGCTGATGAAAACTTTTATCTGAATTACATCATGAAAAGTTACACTACTTGTGTTATAATAATGAGTTAATTCGGCTTGTGTGGCTTTAATTCTTCCCCTTTTCAACAGAAAGTCTGGTCACTTTTTTTACTTAAGTTTTGACATAAGTTTTTCACCAAAATCGAAAGTTAAAAATTGTTCTAAAAAGTACATCATTTAGTTCGATTTTCTGGAAAAAATTGACATTTTGCCATAATCGATTTGGCTATGTTCGAAACAAAGTTTGATTTTTTTTTTGAAATTCATAGAGCAGCATGGTGATATATTTTCTTTGAAACGAACTGACAATTTTTTATGAAAAGTTTTTTTTCGTGTTTTGGAGTTGATTGGTTTTTATTTGCAAACCGTCTGTTGGCTGTGTCATTTTTAATAATTTAAAGCCTTTGAACTTATTGATTTAAAAATTAAAAGGTTCTCTATTTATATCAATTACGGCAATTATTTTGAATTTTTTTTTTGTAAAACTAATTAACACTGAAAACTGTTCAATATTCTTAGGTTTTTGAGAGAATGAAAAAGTTTTTTGGAAAAGTTCTTTGTAAAAGGAATGGAAAACGTTTTTTTTTGTAATCAGTAGCCAGTCTGGTAAAACCTAAAATATCTGCTTTAGTTTTCAAGAAATTAATTCTCGTCAAATACTGAGTAGCAAGAAAGTTTCAATAGCCTTATATTTTGAACTCGAACTGCAGTGTAACTGAAGACATTTTTTTTCTGTTGTTATTTATAATTTAATTCATGTTTATTTTAGGCACTCAGATTTTTCTTATGAAAAGTTGAAAGGAAAATATGACAACTCAGTCAGGGCCAAACAACACCATCGATATCATAAATTAGTCCAAAATATTGCCGGAGAACTGATTTCAAGCCTCCTATAGATTAACAAACTACCCAAGTCGCATAAATTTCTCAAAAAGCTAAAGTTTGGGAAATACCAGCGAATATATTAGTGGCTGGATAATGAATGACAGTAAGCGCATACTGCTAAAGCAGATGACTGCATGTTTCAGTTTATTGTTCCGACCATTTGAAAATTGTGGAGTAATTTTAAATTCGGGTACGTTTTCATTTTTTTGTTTTCCACGTAAAATCAGGTACCACTACTCTACCTTATTTCTTTTTTTTTTCGTTCAGATCTTATATGACACCACACAGAAATAACGCCACTAATTTGCATAAAAGTAAGAGGAAAAATAAAATGACAGCGGAACATTCTGTGCTATTTGCACAGTCACCGCTATCCTTGTTGTTCCGACTTTCGATACGAAAGTAACGGAATATTTGTGCTCGGGGTTGGTTTTTTTTTCTTCAGACAATTTTCGACTTTTTAACTAGCCATTTTTGACGGAATTTTTTTTATGTCATTCAAAAGGCATTGTTGTCCTGAGCTTAAATTTGAAAAGATATTTCACCTGTGATCATTTTTCGTAAAGTTATGAGGGTTTAAAGTTTGCCATTTTGACCAATTTGGGACAATAAACGCGCGATATAATTCGCGCTATTAACGCGAAAGCGGAGATTTAATCCGTCTTATAAATTGTTCCAAACGCGTCCAGACAATTCGGCCACAGACAATTCAGCCGATTTTAAATTCAGACAATTCAGCCAAAATTATGCAGACAATTCAGCCAAAGACAATTCAGCCAATAATTGTGACCGCCGCAGTCGCGCCAACGTGTTGCGAGCTTGCCACCAAAGGGTAGGACTCTATACGAAATTTAGAGCCGGTTATCGCCGCGAAGCGGCGACGCGCGCGTAGCGCGCCCACCGGCGACCTTAAACCGAGAAATAACTCCAATTCCAATTTTTTTTCTTCCGAATCTAGCGTTTTGTAAAACTGGCTGAATTGTCTCAGGCTGAATTGTCTTTATATTTCTGGCTGAATTGTCTGAATTTCAAATTGGCTGAATTGTCTTTGGCCGAATTGTCTGTGCGCCGTTCCAAATTGGCTGAACGAAGCTTATTTGCCATAATTGATTTGTTACTAGGAGCAAAATCTATTCTTTTGTACTTTATATGGCGTGTGGGGGGGATGATTTTCATCAAAAATTTCAAATTTAAAAAAAAATCGTTTTATTTTATTTAATTTTTTTATGTTATTACTGCTGCTCCATAAACCTTGAAGACAGTCGGAACATTCAGGGCTTCGCCCTGATACGAGCAGTTTTGTTTTCTTGCCTAAAAAACTTTCATTTGCCTTTTTGTGCTGTTGTTAACGAAGTGCAGCATCGTCTCTGTGTATATTTTTTTTAGTTTTGAACACAAAGAGTCGGTTTTTTATTGGGGTGTAAAATTTGTTAGTTGAAAACCATTATTTCTATCGCCAAAATTCGAGAATTCGAATCGGATACCCAGTTAAATGTTATTACTCCAATTTTTGAATGTAACGGAATATATCTTCCGTTAATTTCTTCAAAAATTGAAATAATACATTAAACTTGGTATCAAATTTGAACTATTTTGCCTTCGATGTTTTAGATCAATGCTTTGCATGAAAACGCCGCATTTTTTTAATCCGATAAATAATTTGACTTGTCTTTAGTACCGCGAATAGTTGAAACGGGCGTGTCTAATTCAAAAACTGAAATAGCTGTATCAATTTTTCAAATAAATCTATTGAGCGAAATTGGCTCGGTATACGTTTCAATGAGACAGTGAATACAACTCGTTCAATATACGTTTGAATGTAAAGTACAAACAATGGTCTTGATAAAAATTTCAGAAGTGCAATCATTGTGATTAGCTAAACAACCGTTGCAAATTTTGTTTCTGAGGAAATTAACTTTTGTTCTCGGTCGTTTTTTCTTCTGCCGAATATCGACTGTTTAAGTAGAAATTTACGGCTTATTTATTCCGTGCAGAAGATTTCAGTGCTGAGCCGGATCCGTATGCGCGTGATTATGTTAAACGCAGACACAGCAGTTTTAGATTCAAATGGTTTGGACCATGCGTCAAATTTTGCGTAGAGAAATTTTCGAGCGTTCAAAGACAGCCACATAAAAATTTATGATTTGTCATGAATTTTAAATGCTTTTAACGAAGCTTTTGAAAAGACATTTCTCTTTGTAATTATTTCCGTTCTAATCTGTGAACAAAATGTTAACTAATTAACTCATGTTTTGAGCTTCAATTTCAGTCAAATATTATGTCACTGTTGTTCAAGAAGTTCATAGAATCCGTTCTTTTTCCGTTGAAATCCTTGGCATGAATGAAAGCTGATTGGTTCCGACCACAAAGTGGCAAGGATTTTAATAATCGGTGTGATTTTTCTCGCTCAGTCAATATCATAGTTACACAGCAAAAGAGATCGAATGACGTTTCATGTCAAAGATTTTTTTAAGTCTGATATTTGAAATCATTTTGTATTTGCGTGTAGGGAAAGGAAATTGTCAAAACAGCTTCAAATTTTTACTTTTTTCAAAATTTATTTATGGAAACTATCGGATTATTTTGTTTACCGAGAATTACCTCAGCCAGTTAGAAGCAGTCGTATTGTTGAGGGATCCGCACTGATGCAACCAGCCTTGATTTACATCTTGCGAAAAAGTAGACGCAACATGTGTGCTCGGCGTGGTTTTTTTCTGACAATTTTCTATTTTTTGACACTATACCCTTTAACAGACTTTGTTTTGACTAGTTCGTGAGTAAGTAATTGTGAATTGCTGGAACCAGATCTAAACTAGTATTTATCATTGGTTATTATTATGATATTTTATCTCTATAAAATATTAAATACTAACCAATCATACTCCATCAAACTAACAATCTATTTATTTGTAAAGTGTTGAAACTACTTGTAGTTTCAACACCAGAACAATTTGAATTAAACTTAGAAAACAGTTGTTCTCATTCTGGAGCTAACTCGCGTAAACCGGCGTACACTAGATCTATTGAGACTAGGAGATATAAGAGTAAGATTAAGATCGGTATTAGACTAAGAAGTTGCACGAATCTATCCGACCGAAAATAAGATAGCGTGACGAGCAGACGGTGTACCCTATCTGAAATTACTCTGAGTACAGTACAAGATACATCACTCATCTTGTGCGACCAGTGAGAAAAAGACATAACCAAGAAAACAAAAGAAAACACTAATGATAAAAAATAGCATGAAAAGTTGAACTAAAACAGGACCCTCCAAAAAGAGAGCACGTAATTATACCCTCATTTCTGGCCTAACCCACCAGAAGAGGGCGTCCTGAGCAGGCTCTATAGCCGGCCTCACCCACCGTGCTACATCCGCGCTTTGTGACACCCACGACACTATTTTTGACGGGAGTTACTCAAGTGTGAGTAGCTCTTAAAAATAACCGAACTAAATAATAACGCTTTTGCGATAAAAACTAATACAAGATCATGACTAAAAAACAAGATTAACAAAGATTTATATATGTAAATAATACAATGCAATATATAGATAATATACAGCCCAAAGACGAGCAGCAAGGAACTTGACAACCCAATCACACTCCAACTACGGAATGGCAAAAACCCACCTGACATGCTGCCTACAATCACTACACTCAATGGATTTGAAGTACGACTTGGCATCGCAGCAAAGGAAATCCATTGCAAACAGAACAATGGCCATCTCGATGTTCAAATATACGTGTAGATCCAAGTCACCAGGCAATGCCTCCAAAGACGAACTACATGCCGTTCCCAAACGAGGAGAATAACAATGTTCCTATCTACCAGATCAACACTCATCACAACTGATCAGGATCATGATACGATCTCCCGAAACGATCGTGATGACAACTCTTCTTCCAAACCAGAAAAAAGAATATGCTCGCAACCTCTAAAGAAAAACACCACCATCCATCCTTCACTACAATAAAGAACATTGGAAAACTAAAACTCTCTAAACCCCGGATGGGTGGAACGAGATCTAAACTAGTTTTTATCATTGGTTTTTATTATGATATTTTATCTCTATAAAATATTAAATACTAACCAATCATACTCCATCAAACTAACAACCTATTTATTTGTAAAGTGTTGAAACTACTTGTAGTTTCAACGCCAGGACAATTTGAATTAAACTTAGAATACAGTTGTTCTCATTCTGGAACTAACTCGCATAAACCGGTGTGCACTAGATCTATTGAGACTAGGAGATATAAGAGTAAGATTAAGATTGGTATTAGACTAAGAAGTTGCATCTATCCGGCCGAAAATAAGATAGCGTGACGAGCAGACGGTGTACCCTATCTGAAATTACTCTATGAGTACAGTACAAGATACATAACTCATTGCGTAATTGTAGTTTAATTTATCTGTTGTGTTTTTCTTATTTTGGATAAAGGTCGTATTTAGACTGAAACATAAGTTTTCGATTCAAATTTTAGTTCAGAATCAATTCTCTAGCGGTTCTCAATTAAAGCTATTTTGACGGAAAACAATTCAGAACTCAGGACTTTTACTTCAAAGAGCGGCATTTAAACTTTTCAAGCTCTAATGTTGTACCAACAATTCTAATCACCTGATTTTGGCATAAAATACATCAAGTTGATTTATTTCTTTCTCTAGACTATTGTTTATTTTCCTGTCTGTCTATTAAATGCGTTCCGCAAATGCACGTTCTAACACCTGGTTTGAATAACGTCTGATTTTGTTCACTGAAGACATTGTAAAGCTTAGTCATGGTAAGGCGGCTGGCTTAGTTTTAACGCAATGCTTTTTCTGGCGGTACAAAACTTGTTTCGTTTCGTTTCGTTTATTTATCAATTTTCCACCTTTGATTACATCTTTAAGGAGATAATTTTTCCGGCGTTTTCATGCCATACACTTTTTGCCGCTTATTTTCTTAGTTCCTTTTTCTATGTTCATAAAGCTTAAGCTAGCGGCACTATCAAGTATGAACTATTTTAATACCTTTTTCTCCTATTTTAAAATATCTGTCTCTTGAAACTGGAGTTTAGTTTCGTTGGTTGCCAGTTGATTCAATCCGCGTTTGTTAATTGGCGACATTAAAATTCTTGGAAGTTTTTTTTTCGACTTCATTTCGATGTCTTTATCATTACTGCCTGTCATGATGTCAATGATGATGATGTAACCTTGTGATGATGTAACCCTTGTGATGATGTAACACTTGCCATGCAAGCCAGACACTTCTCCAACTTGTATGAAAAGCTCGCCCAATATTTTTTCATGGTAAGACATCCTCTCATAACAGTAGTTAAAGTGTGTATTTCTTCGCGTTCAGACAGTTCGGTCACAGACAATTCAGCGAGGTTCAAGTTCGCTTTGAGGCTTCACTAAATTGCTCAGGAATAACTCGTTTCTTGTACAAAAAACTATAAGGCGGTGATCAGAAAATGCCACGTGTTTCCATAGTAACTCATTTTCTTCTTGATTAGTTAGTTATACCTAAATAATGTGTTTTTATATTATGTTTCCTGGCTGTTATTTGTTGGTATAAAATAAACTCATAATGGTAATCTCTGAGTATATTAAATGTCTATTTTTTTAATAACTTTTTTTTAAATCTTCCGTCTTATTATCTAGCATTTAATGAGTTTTTTCTAACAGTCTGAAAACAAAATTGATAGATTTTTCATGTGTTACCATCTTTTCAAGTTTTAATTGGTTTAGATATCGGTAATTTGGCAAATTTGCTTTGATTAAATGCAGATCAAAAAATCGCGTCCGTGGGCGCAAAATTTATTATTTCGTATTTGTAATTGCGTGTGGGAGAAGATAATCAAAACTATTCTGAAAAAGGCTTCTTTTAAAAAAATTGTTTGTGTTATTTTTTTTTCATTTATCAGTTAGAAATCAGATACGGGCTGTTTTATTACCAATTTGAAATAGCAAGCTTGTCCATAAGATCGGTAAAGCCAAAAACTTCTCATCGACTTGAAGTAGTTTTTTTTAACATAGTCGTCTATAATATCATGTAGATCTTAAAATGTTTGAACCCTGTGTAAGAGTCGATCAAGGCAGTGAAGACTCTTATTTAGGTCGTGATGATTTTTTGTAATTTTTTAAAGGAAGAGTTTTGAAATTTGTTCACGCTCAAATTTGGTTTTTTGTGGTTTGACTTTGATTCCTTTTGGGCTGAACTCCAAAAGAAAGCAAAAGTCAAACCACGAAAAATCAAATTTGAGCGTAAACAAATTTCATTTTTTTTAAAGCAACTCAACTATCGAAAAGCAGAAGAATAAAGGCCACAAAAAAGTGATCTTCTGGCTCCGAAAGTGGATTTTAATTTTTAAATTTCCCAGTGGAATCAACAAATTACCTATTACTCCATTGCTCAAATTGAGTTAATTTTAAAGTGTCAATCATTAATTGCTCTTGAATTTCATTGAGCTGTAAAGCCATATATTTTTGTTCCGACTTTCGTAACGAAAGTAACGGAATATTTTTGCTCGGGGAGGTTTTTTTTTTCTTTAGACAAATTTCGAATTTTTAACTAGCCATTTTTGGCGGAGTTTTTTTAAAATATCATTCGAAAGCTATTGTTGTCTTGAGCGTAAGTTTGAAAAGATATTTTACCTGTAATCTTTTTTCGTAAAGTTATGAGGGTTTAAAGATTGCCGTTTTAGCCAATTTGGGACAATTAAAGCGCGATTTATTTCGGGCTATTAACGCGTAAGCGGAGATTTAATCCGTCCTAGAAATCCTTCCAAATGGTTCAAGAAGCTTAAATGTCATAATTGATTTGTTAATAGGAGCAAAATTTATCTTTTTCTACTCAATATGGCGTGTGGGGGGATGTTTTTACAAAAATTCTCAATTTAAAAAAAAATTAATTTAATTTTGTTAAACTTAAATTTTTCATGTTAATTTGCTCCATTTACCCATAACTATAATCCGATAGTTTTGTTGTGCGACTTTTTTCTGTTTCATTGCCTCCATTGACACTTTTCCAACTGTTTGCAAGCTATGTTGAGCTTTTTCATTTCTGAAAGCGTAACAAACAAACAAACAGTAAGTCTCGAGGATCAGAAATTTTTCCGCCACATTTAAACAGACAACAAAGGGCGACTAGTTGTTATCATTTTTAACCGGGGAGCTCAAATGAAAGAAAATCGGTGAGTCTCGCCAAATGCAACGGATCGATATTCGGCGTTAATAGTTTTGGAATGACATGATCAGGCAAATAATTATTCAGTTTTTAAACTGCTCTCTTGATTTGATTTTAATCAAAAATTAATTACTTTTTAATACTGATTCTTCTTTGAAGAGCCCATCGCTTTTTAAATTAGCATGGTTGATTGAAAAATTAAATGGCACTTGGTTTAATTCTCATTTGAATCGAGGTTTTTCTCGACGGTCATTTCGAGTGTTCTTTTTTAAAATAATGATGTAATACTGCGGCAATATTTAAATCGGAAAATGGTTTTCGCTTAAAAATAAGTGGCTAATTTTTGCCAAGTTTTCAATTAGATAACAATGTTAATCACACGCGGTTAATCAAATAAGCAAAGTGGTGCAATGAATTAAATTAAGCTATTATGTTTTTTTTTTCAAAATAAAATTTTGATATTTTCATGAAATCTTCATCTGATTCGTTTATTGAGTAAAGTAACCAAAGGATGTTTGTAATTTTTCAAACAATTTCAGTTTTTTTCTCAAACGAGTCCACATAGTCAGTTCTTATGTGGAAATACAGATTTGATATAATCAATTCTACAAAGCTGCAATGTTCCTCGTATCTCTCATATCATTGCTTGATCTGATTAACTGCCTCGCATCTATAATTTTTGAGGGGTAGAAGAATCATTTTTTCTCGGCACTCTTTGGAAGAATTATACCAAAAAGGAGAAGCGGTTTTTGCCCTACCGCTTTTCTTTCATCCACCTAAAAACTAAAGATCATTTAGAAAATTTTTATCGTTGGTCGATCAAAAAGAATGAAAACCGTAAAGTGGAAACGGATTCGTGTGCCTCTATTGGTTACTTTAACTTTCAAGGCCTGGACATTTTTTGATAGTGGGGTACAATATTATGATAAGCCATGCTGCTGACGATACTGTCCTTAAATTTTACGTCTGGCTACTTTGCAATTGTTCTTCTTACTCGCATCATTTATTTTAATTGCAACTTTTTTTGCTTCATTGAAGCACTATTGGCAACAGAAAATTTAAAAATAGATTGAAATGAAGGCGGTGCTCGGATTTAAAAAGAAAGTTTCAAAAATGGCCATCAGATTGTTGAGAAACGGAAACTTAAATTTTGCGAGTATAAACTCGTGTACGATTAGGTTTCTAGCCCCTATTGATCAGCCCAATTTTAAATTGCATTTTGCATATTTGCAGCTTCAATCAACCATCGGAAAAAATTCTTAAAAAATGACTGTACTATTCGCCAATTAACTGAGCAAAATCTACGCTAATCTTAGTCATCTATAATTGACTTAAGCACGCTTTTTCACATATTTCTTTTGAATAAGTGGTCCAACCGCTTCAGTAAATTTTTAATACGTTGGCCAGTTCTTCATTTTGATGACCAAGTTTGGCTCGTGTTGCCATGTTGCCTTTTATAGAGTGAATTTTGAGACCGATAAACACATACCAATACAAAATTTTATGTTCGAATGTTTTGGAGTTAAAAATGAAAACAGGTCGAATCGGTTGATCGGAAAATAACAAAAAAAGTAATGAAGAACTTTGAGTCATCTGTATAAATAGTTCCAATATCATGTCCTAGTTGGTTATGTCTTACCAAAATGTCCTAGTTTATCCATTAATTTAATTAACTGTTTTTTTTCCTAGTGTTACTTCTTGCTTTATTTCCGACTGGACCGCTTATTGAGATGAGGCTGACAATACTAGTCTGGATAACGGTAAGAGGTTATCATTGTTTTGGGCGTTGAAAGAATATTTTTTAGCCAAAAGCTGTAAATTTTTTGCCATTAATGCTTCCCCTGCTTAACGAGAGAAACAGAAAAACGTGACTAAATTGAAAGGGGGAGATGTTTTTTTTCTCTGTGATTTTTTATTTCCCTCAAAAAACGGCAAGTTTTGATGGTTTCTATCTAAATAGCCGAATAAAAGTTTGCAGCCAACATTTTTTATTACAATACGATTATTGCTGATTAGGCGCTTAGCTTGTTTATGGACATATATATTTTTTCATCAAACGCAGCCGTGCCCAAAACTTGATCATTACAATTCTACAAAATACCCTAGGATTTAAGAGCACAATAGATATGCTTCATTCGGAAATAAGATCCAAGTTGTATGAGCTTTTTGTTTTTTCATATCTTGAAATAATGACAGCTTTTTATTGTTCCGACCTTCGAAGAAAAAGACGGAATATTTGTGTTCGAGTTTTTAAAGACCAGTTTCGTCTTTTTATTTAACCGCTTTTAAAGAAATCAGGGGTGGATTTAGGGAGGGCGGACGCATCCCCCTCAGGTATTCGCCCTCTAAACCAACCAAAGGGTCCACTTTTGTTATTATTTTATGACATCCAATTTAGGCCGACCAATCCTAAATTTTTTCTAAATGCGGATTTTTTTTACCTGATTTTTCAAAAATTTGCCTGCTGCACAGCATTTTTGGTCAAAATAAGGTCTTTTAAGTGTTCTGGGAGTGCTCGGAAAATCATTTTGTCGCCCTTAAAAGAAAGTCGACGAAATTTTCAAAATCCGCGAAAATCCTAGATCCGCCCCTGGAAAAAAATCTTTGTTTTAATATTATTAGCTAAGCGCCGACTTTGAATGATATTGATCTCTTGAGCTGAAATATACAAATTTAGATACTTGCTTCATTTTTTCGCGAGGTTATGGGAGTTTGGACCTTTTAAACGGCAGTCGAAACATTCAGCACTTCGCGCTGATACCAAAAACCTTGTATTATTTCGTATAATTTGTAAAGATTTAAAATAAGTTTTGTTAGAATTAGGCCAACCGCTTCTATGTTTCAAACACTTTTATAGCTGGTACACTACAACCCAGTGCATTACTGTTATCATTATCTGCAAAGAGTAACAGTTGACACAGTTACTATTCACTCAGTGGTTGGTCTTAACAATAAATTCACTCAGAATAAATCAATTTTACGTATATATCATGTGAAAAAAGGATGAAGGTTTTTGACGAGCGCACTCATCATTTTACAAAAATTGCAAGTCAAGGTAAATCAAATTTTCGCAAAATTGATTGTTATAAATAATATCTGAAGTTCAAAGTAATTTACTATAAATTAACAAAAAGAAGCTGTGGTTATGTCTCCGCCTCTCAATCTAAAGGTCGGATGTTCGAGGACCGCATGATCCGTGCTCGTTGCTTGAGGGTGAGGCAGCATTACCATTTATTAAAAATTCTCTCAAAATCTGTTTTGAAGCTTTTTTTAAAATAAATTGGGATTACAAATAAGATTCTTGGTTCTCCATATGAATATTACAAATCAATTATATGATTTCTATAAAAGAGTATTCTGACTTTGAAAACCATTTTAGAAAATCTCTTGAAACTTTTCAAGTCCAAAATCAAAGTTCGTTGAAGGTCAATTGTTATCAAAAATGATTACAAGATATGCAACCATATTTCCGCGTTTGTTCGATCCTAGCAAAAAGGATCAATGAATTTTCATGATAACCAGCGACAAGCAAGGGTATTGCAACAGGGTACTATACTTTTTTCTTGTAATTTACTTAGTTCTTACATGGATTTTGCAATGTAAATGTCTCATTCAACTTTATCAACTCCGATGTTAACCAGATTTTTTAATATACCAAATCCGATATCAGTATATCAGTTTTTTATTTTTCGTTTTCATTTTCTGATTTTTTTTTCTTTATTCGGCTTAAAAAGTTTCGGCTTATAATATATCGGCTTAGAGGCCTTCTTTTTTAAGTTTTTCTAATAAACACTTTTTTTTTCGGCGCAACGTGTTTCTGCTCAAGAATTGTCGGTTTTTTTTCCGCTTTAAAAGAGTGATTTTTGATGCTTATATAACATTTGATTGTCGTATCTCCTGGCATATTTTTTCGAAAGGAGTTTTTTTGAAGATAAAATCAAAGCAAATGTAAGAAAAGTTTTGGTAGCTCAACTTCTTCGGTATTTTTTTCTAAGGCTTTCATCTCTATTTTTGTGGATTAATTTGGCCTGCTATGCGCGGGATTCTGTAAAACTTCTAAAGGTGTAAATTTCCGTTGATAAAATTTCGAAAGACGCAGGTAATTAGGTTCCAATATTTCGGATTTTTCTTAGCAAATTTTATAACAAAGGCCAAAGGCGAGAAATTTCTTTTTGAAGTTTTTCTTTCAATTTGTCGTGTCGGTTCATTTGCAAGTTGTGAGAATAGTTCATTTTTTTGTCGCAATAGCGCGACGTTGTGCATGGCTTTCGTATGAAAGTTCTGCTTTCAAAGTTCTGCTTTCAGTTAAGAAGTCTGAAAACGGACCTGAAGGTCTCATGACTATCTCTCAGGCTAATGTTTGTATAATGGTTTTAAATGCGGTTTTATAACAAGCACTACTGAAACACTGGCCTGAAAATAATTTATTATATTATTATTCAAATACTTTTGGTAAATCGTTGACATGCAGAAAAAAGAACCAAGAACGGATGCATCCCAGAGACCCACGATGGGCACCGTTTTCAAATGTCCACTTTTTGTTTTGTACAATTTGTTGCCATCAGTTTTTGGAGTACCATTTTTAGATCAATTTTCAGAGCAATTTACCTCGAATTCTACGTCTCTTTTATTTGGTCAAGAGAAAATGATAATTCATCGTGTTAAACGTTTTTTTTATAAATAAAATAATACTTGTTTATACGGATCTTTCATAAATTCAATATATAATGAGTTAGCTTGTGAACAGATAATTATGGCTAGAATCCAAACTGCTCAGGAAAAACTATTTCATGTTTTGTTATGAAAGAAAAATAGTCTAGAAATAATTTAAACATTTTGGTAATGTCGCATTTTGAATGGCTGCACTGACATCTTTTGGAACAATCTTATAAAAATCAAATTTATCAACAGTCCAGGAATTGTCAATTTTAATTTAGATAGTGAAAAGTTTATACTTAGACTTTTAAATTTCTGTTGCGTTTAAACCAACTTTTTTCAGTCTTTTTTAAAAATGCTTTTAAAATGCCTAAAAAGAGTTTTTTCTTGAGAGCTCACGAAATAAAACCAACCGTTTTCTATCTGTTCAGTGAGCTTTTTTCTGTTCAGTGAGGTCTATGGCAAACAAACGAGATTTGTTTTTGTTTGTGGTCGTCATTTTGTAGAAAACTCCTTTGGATAATCGCGATGCTTTTTAAAATGGCTCTTGATTATGTGTTGTTTCAGTGTATGCTGTGGGTGGGGTCGAGTCAGACTCAGAGCAGACTGTACGACATCTGCAAAGTGCCAGAGATAACAGAGAGCGGCACTCTTCTCACTCCAAATAGAGTGACAGGTCAACAGGCAAGAAGAACCAGAAGCATTTTTGATGGGCATTTGGAACCGAGAGAATGAAAGAAATAGTTTACCATCTACTTTTAAATGCCATTAATATCTAATAAAATAAGTGGTTAATTTTTAGATTTGGGCTCATAATTAAAGGAGCTCTATTTCAACCTTAAATAAAATACCTCTGGCTGTTAGACAATAAAAGAAAAAAAAGTAAAATTATTTTAAAAAAAACTAATTTACTCCACAGTTATTGTGTGCTTTACAGTAGGGACTTGCATATCCCTAGAAACTGCTCACAAAGGCATATTTTATCTTTCATTTTTATGGTACTGATTTTTTTTTATCAAATGGGATTTTTCTGGGGTTTCCGGTTTTTGCTAAATTGAACGAAACTAAACAAAAACCTGCTTTTGATTTCGAATGTTTTTCATTAAACTGATGACAGAAAAAAAACTTTTTAGTTCTTATGTTTTCAATACTGATTTCATTCATTAAGCCTATTTTAACTTTGTTTGATATATCTAAAATGCTCATCAATGTGGGGGATAGGGGTATCCACTTAGTCTGACTTGCGAATCGACCATCATCAATCCCGGTGGAGGAGGATCAGTCCGCTTCTACTTCAACTTGTTCGACTTAGAGTACAAAAACTCGAAAGATCGCTGTCAATACGACTACCTGAAGATCAACGGCCAAAGGTACGAAAAAAAACAGGCAGGTGAAAAGAGGATTGTTGCGTCAGTATTCACACTCAAGTCTGAGTTTATGAAAACCTGATTTGAAAAAATTTAGTTATCTTTTAGAAATTGAAACAAATCTTGTTGCTTTAAAAAACAGAAGACAACTAAAGATGATTACTATGATAACTAGCTTTGTTTACCTGCAGATACTGTGCCGGTCTGAGCAACTTCGAACTGTGCCTGAATGAAGCTGAAATTGAGCTGCAATTCATATCTGATGACTGGGAAGGAACTCAGGTGAAATTCGATTTTAACCTCGAAAATCGTTATATTTATTTTAGGGTTTTCAAATTTGTTCATACGACAACTTGCAGGTAAGAAACGTAATTGTTTTTCACCTATTCACGCTGACACGTTTTTCTGCAGTTTAGAATATCAGATATATTTTTAAATACGATTTCGTATATGAAATTTAAGATGAAAAACGACCTTCGTAATTAGGCTTTTTTTTCAAATGATCAAATTTCGAACAGACAAGAGTTCAGTAATTCGAATCTCGTATTGATCGAAGTTCCTGTCTTACAGAATCAAAGATCATCTGGCATCTTTTTTTGCTTTTGAACCAAGTTTAAATCAAATAATTCTGTGTCTTTGGTACAGAAGCAACAGCTAGCTCTTCCTGCAACGACAAAGATCTGTGGTTGAGCGGAGAGTACTGGTTTAGAAGCATGGTCCGAGCGTTTTAATTAGTCCAATTCAAACGCTCGTTTATAAGTGTGGTCCACCCAGGCCACTTGAAATTTACTTGTGCCTCTGAAGTTTTCTTTAAAATGAAATTTTAACACTTGCGATAAGCAAGGGTATTGCAATTGGGTACTAGACTTTTCCCGTAAATAACCTAGTGCATAGTATATCCAATTTTATTATTTTTTCTAGCCAAGTTGTAGGTATGAAAGCTACAGTTTAACAGCTGGTCTGAAGCTATGAAGTAATACTCGGTCTCCAGCTGAAAAAAAAATCTGATAGAAATTGATTTCTTTTTGTCGGTTTTGTTGTTATGTCAGTTTACTGGCCGGGCTTAATTTTTGTTACTTTTTTGGTAGATTTTTCAAGTATATATTTTTTTATTTTTTAAGAGGTTTTTGCATTTTTTTATTTTCTGGTTTTTTACACGCCAAAATTTTCCGTTATAAAATTTTTTTTTCTTGGAAAACAAAAAATGCTCTAAATTTTCAGTTTTTTTTCGGATGCATGGTTTCTGATGCATTCTTCTAATCTAAAATTGCTTAATCTAAAATTAGAATTAGTTTTAGAGTTAATTCAATGGGTTGTTTTGGGATTGAGCAATTTTGTTTACTTTCGAGTCAATTTGATGGCTTGACTATTGTTTTGAAATAACAAAAATTTTACAAAAGAAAAATTCATGATTTTTCATAATAAATTTTGATTTACTTTTGAAATTTTGATTTTACTGTTTTGTCTGCGAAGGTACTTCCGAGTGTTGCACGAGATTAGGGAGTGCGGTTCTTTTTGGCTGAGTTTTTTTGTTTTGTTTTTTGTTTGTTTTACGGGCGTTTTTATTATTGTAAACTTTTTTTTGCTTTAATTGATGTCCAGCTCTCTTAGCGATTCGTCTCAAGTGCATAATTAAAAAATTTGATATAATTGGATTGTTTTATTTATAAGTTTTCAAAGTTTGTTTTCTGCAAGTTCTTTTTCGTGGAAATTATTTGAAACAATAGCTTCCTTTTTTAAATATTTTTCTTCTTTCAGTGTTTTATTTTATTCTGATCTTAGTTTTTAGAAAATTTTTTAGTTTGAAAGTTTTGATTTTTTGTCTAATTTCGAGCGAATGAGCTTATTTATGCTTAATTCAAGCCTTAAAAAGTTAGTTTTACTCTAATGAAGTTATTTTTTGGAATTTTTTGCTTCATCTTAGGAATGACAAAAATCTTCAAAAAATTGGGGACAAATTTTGAATAATTATTAAAAAAATTTTTATTTTTTTTTGTTTTCCTTGTTATTTGTCTTCGAAAACAGTTTTTCAGTTTGCATGTTTTATATGAGTGGCTTTAAGAGCTGAACAATTAGAATCTGTTCAATTGAAAAAAGAAGTAGTTGTGAAACTGTCTGCGAGATTACGATAAAAACGAACCTCGTATAGAAACCCCAAAGGAAAAACATACATCCCGCAGCGGATCCATTTCAGCAAAACTTTCTGAAGCACGCCAATAAAGTATAAGAAAAATGTTCGGTAAAACTTTAATCAATTAGCTAATTTTTTTATGACGATACGGTTTTAACAAAAACTGGCCAGTTTTTCTTTTCTGAATATACATAGAGGTATTTCAAAAACTTCTGCAGAGAATGACGATGTAAGATCTTTTGTGGTTTCATGGAATGTTTTAATGGGTTTTGTTGGGTTTAATGTTATCCTTAGTTTCCAGAAAAATTATTAGTTTTCAGTGACACATGAAAAAATATGAATATTTATCTTCTATTGCCAGCCTTAATTTGCTTAAATAAAAATTAAAAAACGAAGGTTCTTTTTTATTCCGAGATGCGATATGGTCATTTGTCTTAGTTTTCATATAAAGCGTTAAACTTTTTCAGGCATTCAGATCAAATTGGTGCAGCTAATTTGATTTATAATTCCATGATTTCATTTGATTTACCACAAAACCAGAAAATGATAAAAATTGCGAACTTTTTGTCGACATTAGAAGTTCATCTTTTGGTATGTTTTTTAAACGTAGACGAATGTTTTGTTCGTAACTTTTTGTTCGTAAAAAAGTAGTTTTGTTCGTAACTTTTTCCTTGAAATTTTTCCTTGAAATGTTTGACTCAGGTAACGGTCTAAGAGCTTCTCTCTCGATTAGCTAGCGAACTCAAACAAAGACCACTCTATGGATTGTTTGCCCAAGCGTGCATCTCTGATTAAGCAAGCCTTTTGCCGAAACTTAAGCAGTATGGTTTATATCAGAACGACCTCTTGATTTTTCCGACCGTCAATTATCTGATGTAGTTTTTGTCGTAAAAATGAGTTTATGCTAATAAGGTGACCGTGTAGCATATTTAAGCTTAATTTAAGCCGTGAAAAATTAGTTTTACTCAAGTTAAGGGTAGTTTTTGGAGTTTTTAGCGCAATTTCGGGAATCAAAATCTCGAAAATTCAAATAATTTCTGCAAAAAAATTGAAATTTTCTTAACGACAGCAATTTGAGAAAAAAAAATTTGTATTTTTTTAAGAGCAAGGTCGGCACATTCTGAGTGGTATCAAAGCCCTTTCAGTCTTGGTTCGAATGACATTTAAAATTTCCAAAAAGTTTTCCCAGTGTCGAGCAAAACCGGTTTGAATTTTTTGATTTTTTGTTCTAATTCGTGCGAATAAAGCAAGCAGCAGGCTTTTTTTGTTTTCCACGCAAAATTAATTACCACAAATAATCATCGGACTGGGTTGAGTGATATATCATATCAAAGCGTGATTCAGTCGTAATTCGAACCACAGAAAAAATTGTCCAAAAATTTTTTCCCATTGTCGAGCAAAACCGGTTTGAAATTTTTTGATTTTTCGTCTTATTTCGAGCGAGTGAGCAGCCTTACATAAGCTTATTTAGGCTTAATTTAAGCCCTGAAATTTAATTTCTCTCAAATGAAGTTAGTTTTTGGAGTTTTTAGCTTCATCTTAGGAATCAAAAACTTTTATAAAATTTTTTTGTTTTTGTTATGTGTCTTCAAAAATTGTTTTCCAATTTGCATATTTTACAATGATTTATTTGTTTTGAATTTCTTACAATGATCCTTGTTTATTTTGAATTTCTATTAAACCTGATGAACTTTTTTCCACATAAACATTTTTTTTAAATAAGTTACAGTTCTCTGGTTCGATTCACTTGTTTTCTTTTTCACTGTTTATACTTGTGTACCTCTTTCTATTATTTAAACTCGTCGATTTTTAAGGCGCTTTTCCTCTGGTATAGAGGTAAAGAATGCGAGTTCTGAGGTTCGATAACTTGCTGGATATTTTTGAGTTTTAAGAAAATGATATTGCTTTTTTATGGAGTCTCAAAATTGTTCAAGCCCTCTCAGTTGATCCAGAAATAAAGCACAAGCTTTCGGAACAGAAAGTCTAGGGTTTGATTTCCCGCCGTGATTTGTCTTCTTTCATTGTATAGAAATTATTTTTGCGAAGTTTTTTATTGTCGGCCTATCTCTTGTCTAACTTTTTTTGTCGGCTTACTTTCCAAAGCATGGAATATACATTTCTTAAGTCTCAGTATCTTTCCAATATAATAAGTTCTGACTGTAATTGGAAATAGTTCTTAGTCGGTTATTTAGCTAATTTTCATTTTGTATAATTGTGCTGATTTTTCTTTTTTTTTTCTCTTGCTTAAATGGGTTTAGATTTGCTATATTGGTAACCCTATTTTGCGTCGGTGAAATTGCAAACTAGTGTTCTGTTTTTTTTTTGCGTTCAGAGTATAGAGCGGAAAAAGTCGAATATGTAGTTTTTTTTCGAATTTTCATTAATAGTTTTGTCGACTTAGTTGCTTCTGCCTCATTTTCTTTTTGCTAATTTAAATTGCTATGTTTGTGTTATACCGCAAGTTTTGCGAAGCTCCGTTTGGCCTCTGTGATAGTATTGCTTTTCATTTTTTGTCGGCGTGTTGGTGTTGGTCGCGATATTTTGGCCTGTGCTCTGTTTTTTTTCAGCCGATTAATTAAATCACTTGTTTTTGTTCTTAAACTTTTGCCACTGTTAACATCGGTTGAGTTTTGAAATTAGTTTTGTGCAGATGATTTTTCGGTTTCCTGGTTTTCGACCGAAGCTTTGTCGTTTTTTTTCCGTATGGTAAGTTTCGTTCAAATCAGGGCGTGTATTATGCACAAATGTCTATGTAAAAGTTGCAAGGATTATTTTGTTGATGTTTCAGTTTTTTAATTCTTCTTGGAGTAATTTTTACGTTGGTTTTTTCAAGTAGCTGAGCATTTTTTAATTAGTGAGTCAACAGTGTGACGTTTTATGGAAAGTTTAACTAAAAGTAGTAAAAATAAGATGTTTCAATTTGCGTTTATTGAAACCTCGTCGATTTTTTTGTTCAGGTGAAATGTATCCATAGACAGATTATACTAAAATCATTGACTTTTGAAATTGTTTTATATATAGAAATTGTTTATTGAAAATGTTAATATATCGGTTATTGTTTTGAATCGGTTACAGTTCTATTTCATCATTGTAATAATTCAATATTTGTTTTTTATTTTCTACGTAATATTTTAAGGCCTGGTGTTTTCTCTAAGTGATTTTCTCAGTGTTTTTTTTCTGTTTACTTGCATTCATTACTCTGTTTACTTGCATTTCTGTTTACTTGCATTTCTGTTCCGTGTTTTTTTTTCTGTTTACTTGCATTTTTTTCTGTTTACTTGCATTCATTACTTTTCCAACTGTCTGTTTTGCTATGTTTGTTCAAAGAAATCTTTCATTCTCTTTGAGTGGTTAGTTTGTCGGATAGTACATATTTAGATGTCTTTGTTTCTCATTTCAGGATCTGTACACTGGCTTTGAAATCAGAATCACCATATCACCCACCGAGCAGTGTCAGTGCACGACTGTGGCCGACCCCCAGACGGGGGAGGGAGGGGGTGTATCGTGTGTGTTCCCCTTCAAGCATAATGGTATCGAGAGACACCAGTGCGTGGGCTCAGCGGCTCCCTTCTGTGCCACTTCTGTCACTCAAACCGGTTTGATATCTACCATTTTTTATTGATCTGATTTCTTGCATTTCTCGCTCTATTATTTGTAAAGGATTTTTGACCTTTTTATAATCTGTGTTTTTCGCAATATTTTTCTCAAAATGTTTTTTGAAATATCTTGAAAGTTTCGACCAGAAAATTCCCATTATGAAAATATTTGAGCCGGCGTTATGACAAAACATCATGGGCTGCGGGTTTTTGATTTTGGGCCGTATAAACAAAAAAAAATAAAACATTTTTTGCTAAAATCCTCACGGTCAAAACTTTAACTAAGAGCTTTGAACATCATGACAGCCCTGAATGATAATTAACAAATGTTTTTATAAATATAATCAACTTATGTGATGATCATCATTATATTAAGATTTTGTTGACCCTGCTGCTTTCCTTCCGAGTTTATTTGCGACAAATTTTCATTTGAGACTCTGAATTTGTGATTATTTTGCTTGGATTAATGTTTTTCTTTTTAGCTCCCACCATGGAGGTAGATGGCACCAGAGCACGATGTTCAGTCAACAATGATTGTGTCTACAGTGGCGTTACTCTAGAGCAATGTCAAAATCACTGTCTCAGCAATGAGTTTCCTGACACATGCACCGCTGATGGTAACTTACAGAAAAATTATTGTTCACAAAATACTAGACGTATCCCTTGAGCGTTTACTTATCTTTCTTAAAAAGCAAACAACTTATAACTTCCGCTGTGCTTATGTGTATGTACAGAGCTATGGTCTTATGTATTTCACCATGTTGGTCACTACGACCATCGTGATCGTAATTGAGAATGTTTTGACCGTCTCGACGGAAAACATCTGCGAGCCCAAGAATTAATGTCATCGAAAAGTTACAAAGCATCCGACTAATTGTGCTTGATACCAAGATTGCCGAGACTGATAGAACCATGGCAATTTAAAAAGCACTTGGTTATCAAGCCCAATAATGCGGCAGTCTTCAAATCGAAAAATCAAAAAGTTGATGCGCAAGTAGTCGTTTCAGCCTTAATGTTCTGATAAATTTATTTACAAAAGCGTAGTGTCATGTTACGGTTTTTTCAACCTAGTTCGCAAATAAAAGCAATATTTCTTGGTGTCACTTTTGCATTTTTCTATCTGTTTGCTTTTGCTGCATAGAATAACATTTCTGCATCTGGTTTGTTGGTTGCAACTGGTTTTTTGCATTTGAAAAACAGGTATTTTGTAAATGTATGGGATGATAAAAATGTATGAGAACTACTTTAAAAAAGTTGCACCAATAAAAAGACTCGCTACTCCCCTGTATGCCTGCATATTACGCTACTTTACTTTACTTCAACCGATATTCTGCGGCCTTCAAAAAACTTTCAGTGGGTCGTTTTTGTTACCCATTTCTTGCAGATAATTTTTTTTTGAAAACTGTATTGCCAAATCTAAGATTAAAGGTTCAGTCAAAGAACATGTTCTGGGAATTTCCCATGCATAAGCTGCTACGCCCTATTTTCTGTTGAAAAAGAGTTATGGCCCTAGAATAAGTGCAAATTGTGAAATTTTGAGTTTTTTTGGAGCTTTTTCCTTTTCTTAAAAACTAAACTCTAACACTGAGATTAACGGTTCAATCGCAAAAACCAAACGTTTTCTGTTTTTTTCCGCAATTATGAGGTCAAGGTATGAATTGGAAAAACAGGTTCTGGGATGTTTTTGTGCCCAGCTGGTGTTGCCTTTTTTATTGAGAAAAAATATGGATTTAGAAACTGGAAAAACTTTTAAACGTTTGTCGGTTTTTTGGTTAATTTTTAGTCGTTCTCAAAAACTGCCCCGCTAAAATGAGAACAAGTTTCAATCGGAAAAAGTTCCTATTGGTTATTTTTTTAATTTTTTTTAAACTACAGTGCCAAATTTGAGATTAACGGTTTAACCACATTAATTAGCTGTAAAAATATACCTTCCCTAGACAATTTTTTGAAGCGACGAATCCGCTATGGTTTCATTACACAAATGATTTTTTGACCAGTATTTGGTTTTTGTTCAATTTCCAATAACGATCGATCCAGTACTGAAAAAAAGAAATCAATCAAGCTGAGATGTTTCAATATCCCCTGTAAAAGCATGTTCTCCATATTTTTGATAGGAATCAGCTATCCACTTGGTAAATATTCAGTTTTTGACATTTTGGCGTAATCTGAAAATAACGCAAAATTTTTTGCATCACTGCTTTTCTTGAAGCATTTTTAAACAGGTATCTCCTGCTTTAGCTTGGGCCCCTGCTGTTTAACTTTTGTTGCGCGGCCTTAGGGCAGATGCTAGTACATGCAGCGCTGAATTCGACCGCGATTTGTATTTTCTGGAAAAGCTTTTTTTATTGATATAGAAAAATTACTCAAAAATGGAAATTATCTAATTATCTGGTACTAATTGGAGACAACAAACATGCTCTTTGTGATCCCATTGAAATTTTTTGCCGTACATTATGGCTATTTGGTGGATTTTTGCGCATGCTAAATTGTTTTTTGGTGTCTCTAAAAGTAAGTTTTTAACTGTTTCTATTTAAGTTTTTAATTGTTTTAGTCGTTCTCAAAAACTGCCCCGCTAAAATGAGAACAAGTTTCAATCGGAAAAAGTTCCTTTTGGTTATTTTTTAAATTTTTTTTTAAACTACAGTGCCAAATTTGAGATTAACGGTTTAACCACATTAATTAGCTGTAAAAATAAACCTTCCCTAGACAATTTTTTGAAGCGACGAATCCGCTATGGTTTCATTACATAAATGATTTTTTGACCAGTATTTGGTTTTTGTTCAATTTCCAATAACGATCGATCCAGTACTGAAAAAAAGAAATCAATCAAGCTGAGATGTTTCAATATCCCCTGTAAAAGCATGTTCTCCATATTTTTGATAGGAATCAGCTATCCACTTGGTAAATATTCAGTTTTTGACATTTTGGCGTAATCTGAAAATAACGCAAAATTTTTTGCATCACTGCTTTTCTTGAAGCATTTTTAAACAGGTATCTCCTGCTTTAGCTGGGGCCCCTGCTGTTTAATTTTTGTTGCGCGGCCTTAGGGCAGATGCTAGTACATGCAGCGCTTAATTCGACCGCGATTTGTTTTTTCTGGAAAAGCTTTTTTTAATGATATAGAAAAATTACTCAAAAATGGAAATTATCTAATTATCTGGTACTAATTGGAGACAACAAACATGCTCTTTGTGATCCCATTGAAATTTTTTGCCGTACATTGTGGCTATTTGGTGGATTTTTGCGCATGCTAAATTGTTTTTTGGTGTCTCTAAAAGTAAGTTTTTAACTGTTTCTATTATTCTTTTGCTCAGACTACTGTGCAATAAGGGCCAGTGGTTTATGAAAATACCTGGGAACTTAACTAAGTAATATTTTGAGTCCTCAAAGTATCTTATGAGTTATTTTTTTCATAGGAAAGGTGATTTTTTATGCAAGCCAACCAATTGATCACTTTTCATAAACTTCATGCTGCTGATTTAGTGAAGAACTTTTGGCACAGCCGAGAGCAATTTCTCAGAATAACTTGCTTGACCTAACAGAGATTTCTAATCAAAGTTTTACGGGAGCGTCAGCTAAAGGTTTATTTTTGACGATAACTCGGAGAACAAATACCGCGGTCAGATATATAACGAACAAGCGCAATCTATTTGGGCTTCAATTTTCAATGGTTTCCATTTTTTAAATTAAAGTTACCTCCCTCAGTAATACCTTCTTTTTTCTTAAGCTTCTCGTTGGTTCTCTCGATTTTTCAGGGTGACCTTTCGATGAGCTGGAAGCTCGTTAACCACTACAGGCATTTAAAAAAGTTGATACTCACAGTTTGCATTTTGTTTCTGGTAACAATATGACTCTTGGTTATTGAACCTTAAAGGATAGAGTAGAAGGTTTTGACCACGTCTACTATGTATGTCATTTTTGATAGTATACGTAGCGCTGGGGTGAAAAATATGCTTAGATCATTCTTCTATTAACTTTGTTAAAGCATGATTATTTAAATTTGTTACTTTCACTAGCTCGAAATGACTTTATTTGAAGATTGTTTTTTCCAATTTAGTCACAAATTTTTCAGATCCGTTTTCCACAACACGAGAAAAAAATTCTTGTTCTCAAAATCGGTCGAATCACTACTGAAAGGGTTTATAAACCCGCGTGGTCGGAACAACAAGAGTATATAAAAAGCACCAATTTGGTATATGAAGCTCTGGAACAAACTCTGGTGTGGCTTAGTCCTAAGGATACTGAATCGAAATGAGTTCATACTAGCAATCAGAGATTTACGTCGATTATTGCCAACACTAGACTAATATGGTCAACACTTTGTACAGTTTGGTTGGTTTGTTACGAGTGGCTGATTGCTATCCACTCCTTATAGCAAAAATTCTGACTGGTTTTTCTAGAACAAGAGCGAGAATTAAAAAAAAAAAAACTTTTGGAAACCTAATAACGACTAAAAGAGCTTAAAAAATAGTTTAAAAAAATTTTTTGAGATTTTTAAATTAATTCCACCGTTCACAATTTTGATGTTAAAAAGTCAAAAAGCTTAAGGTCTTAGCCAATTTTTTAATCTTACTATATTCAAACTTCGTTTGAGGCCTCAACGACAATGGAACCGAGAGGACTTGCAACTTCGTTTCCTACTCCTCCTCTTCTTCCATCTGTCAGATTGATGAGTCATGTGACCTGTACGAGAGAGCAACCCCCGGAGGCTGGAATATCTACCGCAAAGTCACCCCCAGTTAGTTTCCATATTCCAATTTAACGTTGAAATTTAGTAAAATTACCGAGTTCATAGTCTATGAGAAACTGACTTTGACTGCAATCATTTATCCACAAGCGAATGTATCGGTATATAAAACAAATTCCTCAAGCCCCTATCAGGGTTTTCGTTATTTCCGACAAGGTTTTGTTTTACGCAGACTCTTGCCGGCTCGTTATATTGAACAAAAATTTCAGCGGGAGATCTGGTCACTCAAGGCTTCTGTAACAAGTCTTCCTCGGCATGTGAACAAAAGTGTCTCTCGACGTCAGGGAGGAAGTGCCTTTTTCCCTACGTGCACGCAGGCTCCGGCGTCGAGGTGTTTGCATGTCCCAAGTTCAAGACCACCACTGACGATCTGGAGTTCAAGGTAAAGTTAGAAATGCCACTTAGCTAAAGAACTTACCAATTTTTTCCCTTTAAAAATCTTAAGAGGGTTTGGTTACTCAAGTTACCCTCTTTTATAGCAAAACGAAAAGAGCCAAAGGTTACACCAGGGGCGGATCTATGATTTTCTCGAGGGTCGGGCGGATTTTCAAAAAAAATCGAAATTTAGACCAAAAAATCACGTTTTTTCGGAGCGCGCTCCACCCTCAAAATTAGTATATATTGGCGCCAAAGGCGCCTTTAGAAAATTTTTGGGTACCTCACCAAAAATGGATATCTCAAAATAGTACAAAGGGGGAGAAAAGAGCTTTGCTTTACAAAATAACTCAGTCTGGATTGTGGGGAAACAAAAGTGAACGGACTATGCTTGTTCAAGCCTGATAGCCTTTCATAGATCCTCTGCGAATCGCAGAAACCACAATTATTTATTAGTAGTAACCCAGCATAGGGTTCTGGTAAGCTAAAATTTCTTTTCTGGCCGATGAATTTAAACGACAATCAAACTAGGAGCGTGTTGTTAATGGTAAATAAGACTCGTTTGCAAAGCTGAAGGAGTGCCGTACAAATTAGGCGAAAACTGCTGTATGCCGAAGTTAAAATGTAGATATTTCGAAGGCTGGTCATTTAGCAGAACGAAGAACGACCTAAGCGCTATATGCAGAACGACCTAAGTGATCGCAGCTACTATACAATAATCAGACTAAGTTTAATCTATGGCTTTTGTGTTCTGCGCGAATGCTATTATTTCATATCGGTCGCACATCGCACACCCTTCAAAGCTTGGAAGTTCAATTGGAATGTGTTGGTCGAAATACAATGTTGCTTTATTTTTATTGCAAAAACTAACTAGTTTTTTTTCTATCGGCACAGTTTTCAGATTTACCATCAAAAAATTTACCTTTAGATACAATTTTCTCAGATAGGGTTTACTTTCATAAAAAAGTGTCAATCATAAATTCTTCTTGAAATTCAAAGAGCGCTAAGGCCATTTATTTGTTACTTCGAAATCCGAAAACTGACTCTTAAGTTCTAAGGCTATATATTTTTCTACGTTGAAGTTCGAAGTGGACTTTTTTGAACTGTCGGTTGGCTTTGTTATAAAAGACGTAACAGTACCGATGAACTCTGCGACTTCAATCTGAAGTCAATGCTGCGACTTCAGTTTTGTTCTGTTTAAGTTATGCCTCGCGAAATGTGACGCATTACAAATTTTTGAATTTTTACTTGTGTTCAACATTTGTTTCTGTCATTCGTATTATAAATTTTACACATATATTATTATTACACAAGCAAATGCTTGTTTTATATTACCAGTATACTCTTCTGCTAAGTAAAGTTTTTTTTTTGGTGTTCAATTTCTGTGTTAGTTTTTAAATATCTAATGCTAGACTACGATTGATGCAGGCAAATGTATGAAGAAGCCTTTGTTTTTACTCCTGGAATTTGTTGATATTCTAAGCTCGAAATATAAAGATATCTAAATATGATTTATATTATTTTTTAAATCCTCGACACTGGAAAGCTTTTTTGATTTTTTTTAAACATGGCTCGAATCACGACTAAAAGGGCTTTATTTTGACCTTTTACTCGATTTGATTCAAAAGGTCAAAATTCTGATGATTATTTGTGGTGCCTGATTTTATATGGAAAAGAAACAAAGTTCCTCGAAACACACCCTCCAATGGTCGTAACAAAAACAAGACCACTCATATATCATTTATATCAGGGCAAAGCTCTGAATGTCCCCGACTGCCTTTTAAGCTCTGAGGAGTAGTGTTTGATTTGAAAAAATGATGATTTTATTTAAAAAGTAAATGAATCAAAGTCAAAAACGATCCCCACATGTTATATATTCCCCCACAAAGTGATATATTTTGGTTATAGCAAAGCTTTAAATAGAACAAATAGGATGCCTCAATTCAATTTGGAACGTTTTCTAAGGCATATTAAATCTTTACGAAAACTTAAATTTTACAACAAATGATCACAGGTGAAACATTTTTTCAAAATTTTATCTCAAGACAACAATACCATTTGAAAGATATAAAAATTAGTTGAAAAGTTGAAATTTGTCGGAAGAAAAAAATTTGTGATTTTTTCAAAAGTTTTTCAGAAAACCGAAACGTTTTTTTTTTAATTTGAAATTCCTAGCCCTTCAATTGGGGGCTGCCAGATTACTCTCAGGGGATGCGAATCTTGCCTCTAAATATAACTGCTCAAAACTAGGTGGTTTTCGAGTTGTGGTGTTTTGTTTGGTTTTTTCAAAAAAAAAAATTTTTTAATTTAACTTAAATTTGAAGTTTCAAAATTTGAAATTCCCAAAGCTATAGTTGGGTACTGTAAGAGTACTCTCAGGATTTGCAAATCTTGCGTCCAAAAGTGACTGCTCAATTGGTTTCATTTCCGAGATGTGACGTTTCTTTGGTCATTTTGAAATTTTTCAAAGAACCACAAAATTTTATGATTTCTCAAAATTTGTATTCAAAAAATTTGATCAAAAAATTTTTACAAAACTTGAACTTACCAGCCTTGAAATTGGGTGCTGTCAGAGAACACTCAAAGGATACAGATCTTATTTCCAATATATGCGTTTTTTTTTGAGTTGTTTAAAATTCGAAGCACCGTAGGTGCGTTACATGCTCGTATTTTTTTTATTTGAGATCAGAACAACACTACTGTCGGCTGATATAAAAATACTTCGGCCAGAAACTTCTTGTAAAAAGTCAAAATTCGTCTGGAGAAAAAGCCACCCGAGCTCAAATATTCCGTCATTTTCTTCAAAAGTCGGAAGAAAAAAATACAATGATATGTAAACCATAGCCGAATTAGGAACCAGATACCCTTTTTTCAGCGGAAAATACACAAAGCCGTGTGCAATAATGGTGTAATTTTACATAATAAATTTATAATGTCAATTTTGGCTGGCTTATATATTCTGCTCATTTTCGGTTTGCTGAAATTTTGGCTGGCTTAACTTCCTTCATTGAGTACAAATTTCAGTGTCCGGACGAGCGAGGTCGTACTTTCTCGACGGCTAACGTGAACTACGGCAAACTGGAGGATCTTTCCCTGACAGAGTGTGGCCAAACTGCTTGTCTATTTCGGGAGCCGTGCGGAACCCATTCCACTGAGATGGAAGGTAAAATAGACGAGCAAATTTCTGCATCTCTTTAAAACCAAAAAAAAAATGTGTGATCCTTTAATTGTGTGTTATGATCACTTCTTGTGACTGTACGAAATCGATGAAAAATAAAATCAGGGTAAAATAGTAATTGAATCTGGCAAAAAAACTGACAATATTTTAAGTTTTGTCAATACTCAACTTTTTTACCTGGTAAATCAAAAATAAAGTTCAGTAAGAATTCATTAAGTTTTGCCTTAGTTACTTCTCACCCCTGGGGAGAGCAGAAACTACAGAAAAAGGCTTAAAAAAGTACAAAACGATAAATAAGAATTGTGTTGGTGTTAATTGTCTGACAAGATCATCATTTGTTAATAACTACAAAAATTACCTAAATGGTCATAAATTAGAAGGTTCGAAGCCAGTGATGTCCAATCGGCTTAATTAATTTTGTTTTTAAATAGTGATAAAACAAATTGGTTCCCAAGCTTATCACCCCGTGTTTTGTAACCCCCTTTTTCTTTACCCCCTCTCATATAACCCCAAAATCAGGTAACCCCACTACAACTTAACCCCTTTTTAAAACCAATTGTTAGAATCAAAGTGAAAGTTACTTGAAAAGGATTCGGAACCATATTGTCGGTAAACATCAAGGCTTTAATTGCGAAAAATTTTGCGAACCAAAATGAGTTAACATGCACGCTGCTAAATGCCTTTTAGATTTGAACAGAAATGACCTTGCCGGTAGTCTAGACTTTGATATGAACTTGAAAACGAATCCGACCGACATGATTCAAAATGGTGCACATACAAAACAGTCCAAAACCATTTGAATTTCTTGACCTTGATCTTTTGGCGCCGACAGAATTGATCTACGCTTTGAAAACTCAAACATGGGCTTAATTAAAGATCAAAGAGCCAAAGTTGGAAGAATAAATCGGATGACAACCAAAGGCCTCATGGTATAGTGGTTAAAGCGTTAGTCTCAAAATCTAGAGATCAAAGGATCGAATCCCTGGCGGCACAAAAAATTTTCTAATTTTCCCAAAAAAGTTGAATTTCGGGTTAAAATGATAACGGGTATACCAAGGGTACAATAAATGGGTTAACCTTACAGGGTTGGGCGGAGGGAAAAGAAAAGTCCACACCTTGTATGTATTTATTATTTTGCCGGTTTCAAATCGACTCTAGCTCAATTTTGAAAAATCAAGGGAAATAATTAAACTTGAAAAAAAATTTATTGCTTGGCAATATAGATTAAATAGCTAATATTTAACTCAAGTTCGCCATAGCGCGAAAGAAATGCAAATCAGTTTTTTCTTCGTACACATGCATAATATTCTGCACTTTTTCGTTGAGCACCCTGTATTTTTTCTTTTTTGTAAATTGGTGCCCACTCGAGGCGTTATAAAAATTAAGTTTTTGGACGGAAGCGTCTTTTTGCAAATTTGCGATCACTTTCCATATACTGGGATGCGATCCACTGAAGTATGACTGTATGCCATAATGCCAGCCCTCTACAGCATTTGTTGTTCTGGCCAAACCCGATGATGCCGCATCCCTTTGATTCCATAAAGAAGGGGGGAATTGGGCTTCCCGATTCGGGACGAGACTTTTGATGTAGTTAGATCCAAAATAAAGGCAAAGCTCGTCAACTTTCGCTATTTTTTCCGACTCTTTTATGGTGCGATCGCAAACTATTTGAATTTCCTCCACTATTTTATCGTATGAACTTCCTATTTCTTCTTCTTTTTCGAAAGCCAGTGCGGGTGACATTTTGAGTGCTAAAGCGAACTCGTGGTTAGTTTCGTAATCCTTTTTCAATCCGAACTCCGCGATTTTTCTCATAAAACTTTGTGAAAGATGGAAGAAACATCCCGACAGCTTGGTCTCGGGAAAGGTTTTCTGAAACGCTTGAATAGCGGCCTGCTCAAAATCCAGTAAAATTTTTTCAGGTCTACTATCAGGGACTAGTATTTTTAGGGCTTCTAAGAAACGTTGGTAAGTTTTTTCTGTTTTTTTTTGGCAGGAACGCATATATGCAAGCAGGGGCTATTCCTGAAAGACTAACGTGTATGGAGTAAAGTTGATAAAACATTTTCGGGGTGACTTTGAAAGTTCCATCAGCCAACCAAAAGTTGGATGTTTCAAGCACACGTAGCATTTCAGGGTCGCCGAATAAAATAATCCTCTCGTGATCATTTTGCCCACTGTCAAATCTTATAAAGTTTTTGAAAAGTTCGGGTATTTCGAAACTTCTGGTTGCTGGGGAGACTGGTAAGACTTCTTCTCGTTGCTTGCGCGCTCGTTGTGCGGTGCGAACTAAATTTTCTTTGGATGGTAGGGCTAGTTGAGTGGCAATGTTGTCTGTAATTGGCTGAATGGCGGTTGCGACTGCGACGGTTGGGGTGTTACTATCGCTTAGCTCCTTGATGTTTTTCAAAACTAGTCGAGCATCAGGTTTGCCCGTGGAAATATCGTGATTATGTTGACCCCTCGTTTCAATAAAGTTTTCTCCATCCGTAATTGCTGTTGCGCGGCATTTATGGGTTTGGTACTTTGAGCAGTTCCAATTTGTTGTTGTCTTGTTTTTTCGTTTAAGGTAATACTCGTGGCCTGATAGCATTTATTTGTCTTTCGAAGATTAAGTAAAATGGAATGACGCTTTAAACATTATATCTGATCTGATAGAGTGGTATATCAATGGTTAAAGAATTAGGCAGTATGATTTTTATAAAACTCACAAACGTCTTTTCTTGCCTTCAATTAGCACCATGTAGGTTATCTCTGTTTTAAACGCGTGAGTGAGGGATTATTTCTCTAACTAATCGAAATGCAATTACTTTTGAGATGCTAGAGGCATCAAGTGAATTAAGACTAGCTTTTCATGCCTCAATTAGTAAGCTTAATTGGACTACTCGTGTACTTATAAAAAGGACTTAATTTGAAACAAATTATCGTCATTAAAAGGGGGTTAAATTGTTGTGGGGTTATCACGTTACGGGGTTATGATATAGGGGGTGTAAGCAGAGGGGGTTAAATATCGTAGGGTTAAAGAGTGGGACACCAAACAAATTATATATACTCTCAAACCTATAGTAAATGATGCAAGTTTTGAAGGTAGTCGTCGGCATGCAAATCGAATCGGACTTTATTAATTGAATCGCCAAAACGGCTAAATATCGATCGACGGAGCGCGACAAAGTAAAGGTTTGGTTGGAGTGGCGTGGAAAAAATGATTCCTTGGCCAAACTTAGATTCAGAATAGACTCCTGAAGAGCTAATTTATGAGCTAATATTAATTGGTCAAAAAGGACTTGTTTTGAACAAAATCGGTTTAACCAAATTGGTTAAATCAGTTAAACAAACCAATTTTTCAACCAATAGGTTAAACCAATTGTTAAACAATTGGTTATATTGGACATCACTGGTCGAAGCGCTAGATGGTATTATGTAAGATGTGAAGCGAATCTTAAGTCACTAAATCTCCGCTTCTCAATCGAGAGGTCGCTGGTTCGAGGCTCACCTTGATCTGTGCTTGTTGTTTGGAATTAGGCAGCACTACTCAGTTCAGAAAATACGCAGAAACTGCATGTATGTCTTTATTAAGAGGCAAAACTTTTTATAGGCCAGCTAGTGAGTCTAATTGATCCAGTCATCATAGACGGCAGCAGTGAATACGAAGCGAACCATTTGTGCAACTTCTCATTCGCATCAACTGAGTCCAAATTCTACAAGTTCGTATTTTACGACCTCAACACGTGGTGCGCGGACGAACTTATTTTACAGTCTGCCGACGGTAGTATCCAATATTCGCTATGTTCCGACACTCGAGGCACCGATCAGAGCTCCTTTGAAATTTGCATACCCTCTTCGGAAGCCAAAATTAATTTTGTTACCGGAAACACGAATGTTGTCGAAAATCCGGAAAGGTCAGGATTCACAGCGTCGTATTTCCAAATTGACCAATCAGAGTGCACGGTGAGCCCGACTAGCGAGGCGGACTCCGCATGTTCGGCCGCCGAAGGGCGTTACGTGAACGAGTCTACGGAACTTAGAGGACCCCTTTACCCGCAAGCATACCCCTCAAACTCGGCTTGTCTGTGGAACGTTGTATCGGAAATTGAAGATGTTTACATTTTGGTACGAGCTGTGGACTTGGACTTGGGAATCCCAGGTTCGACGGAGTTTGAGACAACTGACTCTATCGTAGTAAGAGATACGGAAGGTGCCGAATTAGTATACCTTCCGAGTTCTAGCAAACCCTACCGATCAATTTTGACTTTGTCGCCAAATTTGACCATCAATTTTATGTCATCCAGAATTTTCAACTGGCACAAAAATTTTCGTATTGAAGTCAAGTTTGTGACTTTGCAAGAAAATACGGACGAATTTTTGTTTCATGACTACTGCTTGAGCGAAGACATGCAAAGTATTTGCCAGTTCCCTTTTATTTATGATGGCAGAAATTATTCGGGCTGTGATTTTCTAGACGAAGTTGATGAAAGTGTTTCGTGCATTTCGACAAAGGGAGTAAAAATAACATGCAATACTGATATAGACAGCTGTCAACCGGAAACGGCCTTTTTTGTGTCTACTGAATTAGTTTTCGAATCGAACTCGGATAAAGTCATTATATCTTGGGTAATGTCTAGTCGATACTGGTCTTACTTCGATGTAAATATTAATGGCCAAGCTTATAAAACTGAGATAAGAACTCTTTCTGTAGAGATACAAAATTTCACCGACTTTGCTTTGCCTGATAAGCGTAGAAGTGCTGATGAAGCCCCTGTTCTTTACGGTGTAGAAATATTCAAAAAATCATTCGGCCTCGAACACAGAAGTGTATATTTTATAATCGAACCCAACTTGAAAATAGCCCTGAGCGCTTTGGGCCCGAGAGTGGCGTCAATAAATTGGGATTCCTCTTTGATCGTGCAAAGAATTGTTGTAACTCCTCATTTGGACGCATTCGCAAACGCGACATCATTCCAACAACTGGAACGGCATCTTCAGGTGGATCCTTACGAGACTAATGCAACAATCCCTTCTGGAGAAACCAGTTTCGATCTGGGAGCAGTGGTCTCCCCGGGAATTCCCTATAAGGTCAAAGTAGAAACTAATAATTCTGCGGTTGCAATTGAATCTGAAATCTACATACCACCGGTGGCCTTGACAACTGAGGTCAATCAGATTGATTTTTCTTTCAGCGGATCAGGAAAAGTGACCTTTTCTGGGTCATTGACCTCGGATACTATCTGTTCATTTATCGAGTTGAAATCTGTCCCCGCTAGTCAAGATAACTCTGAGCCGCTGCAACTAGATTGTGGATTAGATAACGGTTGTATACAAACGAACGGATCCTTTTATACTGAGATAATCAGCGATAATTTCCAATACGGATTATGTTACGACATGTACATAACAAGCTCGACCCTCGCTAGTAATTCAAAGGTGAGCTTGATTGAAATGTGCCTTGAACCTCCGATGATCAATAGTTCGACTGTTCAAGTAGCCGAACGATCGAGCGAGTCTCTCAAGCTAATTTGGGAGGCGCCGACGCCTAATAACTTCGACGTTTATCTAGCCGATGTCTCGTTTTGCACTGATTGTTCGTGCGCGAGTATTGAGGTTTTGGAAGAGTTTCTTCTAAATGATCCTGAATTGGAATTGGACGGGTTGATTCCTGGCGTACAGTACCGCATTAATTTGACAACTGTGGTTAACCACGGGAATATTGAAACCAAAATTGACTTTAGTGATCCTCTGTCAGTTGAGGAAGACACCTTAGCGATTGATGCCGACCCTGTTGATATTGTGTTTACAAACAATAGACTCTATCTGAACTGGGCCGTTCCAGCTCTAGGGCCAGATGAAGTTGGAACAGTCGGCTTCCGAAATGGATTCAAGGTCACACTTTTGGATAACAATGACATAATTGAAGAGACTTTCACACGAGAAGCGGGATCGTTCAACGATGTTCAGTTGAACTTCGCAAGACCTGCTCATCTGTACACTGTCAAGTTACAGACCGTGTCTTGTTCAGGTATTCAGACGTCTGAAGGATTGGAGCTCAACCAGGTTTCACCACCCGAAAACTTGAAGGAGAACGAGTTCGTCCTCACCGACGTTACGACTACAGGATTCAAAGTCGAATGCAATCGCGATGCTCCAGATGTCGAAGGGAATACAGAAGTGACCTTTGCGGTTGAAATCGCAGATGATTCAGGAAAAGTAATCAGAGATTTTGAACTGGATTGCTCAGAGGCGCAAAGGTCGCAAGAGTTAACCGATTTAGATCCCGAAAATACCTACACCGTTGAAGTGAAAGCGAAAGCGTCTAACGCTAATAGTTATGTTCAATCTGTTTACTCAGATCCTATAAGTTCCAATATTCGTGTACTTCCCGAGGGAGCAGAAATAAAAGCAACCGAAGTTTCGGCCGAGTTCACGCTTCCACGAAGTGCACTTCAGTTTCCCGCAGGAGTTACGCAATTTTACATTCTTGTTGCCGAAGCGGAAGAGATTTCGCCGACGCTCGACCAAGCCGAAACTTTCAGTACTTGGAAGCAAGTGTACGCCACAGACAACGGGGAGACGGAAAATGTTAAAGTGTATCAAGCAACGTCGCAAATGGCATATCCACCACAAAATTCTTCAAACGTTTTCGATCTAGGAAACGATCTGTATATGTTTAAAATTGGCACTGAAACATACAGAGATTGCTTGAATAAGACTGAAAGTGAAATTTGTGACAGTCAGTTGATGTCTGGAACATTCTACTCACTTCTAATTGTCGGTTTGCTTCCTAATGGCACCCGAGTCATCGGTGGCAGAGATTTCGGAGTCTTCAAAACCGCAGATTTGATCACGAATTTCTCAGTTATATTATCCAGCTCAACCTCATTAAAAGTTGAGTTTAAAGATGACATATCAACTCAAGATACCATCTACAACCTCAAGTATCAGTTTGAGGGTCCAGTTTTGGAGGAACAGCGACAGAAGAGATCTGCAGGAGACAACTCAGCTTCTGCCACTACTAACACGACCTCCGAAACTATCTCGTCCAGCAAACGTAAGATATGCTCGAATATTGATGGCGAAGCTGGTGCGAACACAGGCTGTTTCATGTACATACATGGCTTAGATCCGTTCTCTAAATATATTCTTGAAGTGAGTCTCGAAATTGGAGGCGTCAATAGTACTGACACTTGGACAGGCGAAGCAGATACTATAAAGAAAGAGAACGATGTTGGACCAGGCGACGGCGACGTTCTATCCCTTTCAGCAATACCTCCGTTTCTGCAGGATCCAAACATACACGAAGTTGTGATTCTGGTTGGCGTCAGACGCAACAGCCTGGAAAATGTTACGATACCCTACAATAATTGGGACGATGTTTTTGGGGTTCCTGCTGGGGATAGTCCTGCAAGAGGTGTATATCAGCCGTATCCACCTTTTAATTACAGCACAATCGATGAAATTCCGGGACTATCTATTGAGGATGGCCAACTTAAACTGACCATTGGCGAAGGTGATTCAGATGATAATTGCACCTACTGCAACAAAGCTTTGCCAGATGATGACTCAACAAAGTACTATATCTGGTTTATAGGCCAACTAGAAGATGAGCATCCGCTTATTTCGGGGCCTTATGGCGCGTTCAGTGCTTCTGTGAGTAAGAGCAGCGACTTCGCTTCTGCAGGCATCGGGTTACTGTTTGCTATAATCTTTTTCATCCTCATACTTATTTTGGTGATTCTTTTGGTTGTCTACTACCGTCGCCACGGACGCAACAAGCTACGAAAACCAATTGAGTCGCACGAGCACCCAGTTTTTGTTCACAACCCACTAAACGAAGCTGATTTGCAGTCCTGCAGTGAATATCCAAAAAGTCCGGGCTCCGACACTCCGGCTTCTGGAATGTGGGGAGGAGTCGGTGGGTGGGGTAACGACGAAATTGACGGGGGCATGTTTGCCAGATCTCCTGCGCTTCCCGAGGCGGAAATTGAACCCATGTACGAAGAGGACAAGACTGTATCGCCGAACCAAGTACAGATAACTTCGGTTCCCAACCGAAACAGTGTCGTGTCTTCTGACGAGAGCATTCCACGACTGACTACCAATTTCGCGCCGGCGTTTCTGGCAAATCCCGTGGCAGAGACTGCGAACCAGATTGAACCGACAGAATCGAATGCTGCTCAAGATAACGAGGGATTCGTAGCGGAGGCTGAGTTTGCAGTGAACCCTACAAGCCCCGATGAAATGTAAATTCTGAACTTAACCGAAATTTATACCAAAAGAAGTTTTTTTGTTAAATTGAACCGAAACGGATAAAATTAAACTATTTAGTTTTGTAAAATTGCAGATTTTTCCCTTTAAAAAATTTCCTCTGTTAGAATGAAGAATATTTTGAGTGTTTAAAATTCATTGATTTGTTCAAATATCGTTTTACAAGACAAGAAAACTTAAGTTGGTCAAAGCAAAAAATACTAGCGTGCAGGACTGTGATACCACGATTCAAGGACTGAATCACCCTAAGACAATACCCCAGGACAAAACCCCACTCGATACAATCCCCCAGGTTGTAATCCTTCCTGTTGATACTAGTCTCTTTGTTGAACCCCACAGTATTTAACCTTGTGTCTGACTCCGGCTTTAGGACAGGCTTTCTCTTCGTTTTCGCTTCTACTTTTTCCTCTTGAATGTTCCGGCAACTAAAAGTAGTAGGGGGATTTTGTCTTTGGGTGTGTTTTAGTTTTTTCTGGCTTTGAAAAATGAAAAAAAAAAGAACCTGGAAAATAATTAGAAAAAGTTATAGAAATTTTCTTTTTTTTACATTTCATTACGAGGCCAAACTGTGCTTTGTATAGGCGCACAATTTGGTTTTTTCCTTGTTGCGGAATCTGCTTAGAATTCAGAAAATACAGTTTGGCCTCGTAACGTTTTTGTTTTGTCATTCATTTCTCGAAGAAAACTATAGTCTATTAATTAGTTCACTGGCGTTCTAAGCTTTAGTTTCTCCTCTTATCATACCACGCCCAAAAACGGTATTAGTTTGAAAAAAAAATTATTGAAAAAGAATTATAGTTATTCTACTTGGTATCACATGGCGCAGCCAGCAGGATTCTTGTCTCAAGATAAAAGAGCTGACATGGGTTTTCCTGTTTTCTGGACTTCAACAAACAAATTCTAATCCGCCATGGAACTTCAAAATTTGATTCGAACATTTTTTACTAGCCGTGACGGTCAAAGAAAATGTGAATCCAGATGTATTATTGGAAGACCCAAAAGCAGCCATAGAAGAGCCAGTTCATCGTCCTGAGACACCAAGAACTGGTAGAGATGCGCGAGTAAAAACGGATCGAGAACCAAGGGACAGACTGGCAAGAGACAGAGTTTTGCTTGAAAATGAAGAAAGAAGGTAACGAGGGCCCAAGGTCGGTCTTATTGTGTATTACAATGAAGTCCAAAAACGGCTCGCTTCGAGACTATTCCTAGCCCTAGGTACAGAGAGGAAGAAAAGTTTTGTCCAGAAAAATCCCCATACAGAAGTTTCTAAGCTCGAGTTCAGGGAAATGGTGACATTGGCTAAGGCATCGTTTGAAAAAAAAATGTTTAAAAGAAGAGTATCACATACGAGAGGTATGAATTGTTAACTATATCAAAAGAAAGAGGAGAGATATTGGAATCTTTTTATGCCACTCTGACTGCTCAGACAGAGAAAGTGGAGCTAGGCACATTAAAAGACGAACTAGTTAGGGACTTATTTATTTCAAAGATGAAAATTAGTATTACAAGATACACTAACGTTCGAGACATACGCACCAGACGAGGTCCTCAATCGAGCGTTCAAGTTTGAACAAAGCAAACAAACGACACAAGCGTTTCAGAAATCATGCGCTAATACTGCAAGTGCAGGCCACTTCTCGGGGTCGCAGATTTAAATAAAAGCAGGAACCCGTTTTGGCGGCCGGCAATGAGCGTCAAAACAGTAGATGACCAAACAGAGAACAGTATAAGCGAAAAAAATGATGCCAGAAATACTACGAGGCCCCGAGCAGAACAGAATTAGTGTACGAAATGTGGAAGAACGTTCGGGGAGGGACACGTAAAGAATTGCCCAGCAATGAGAAAAACATGTAAAAATTGTAACAAACCGAACCATTTCGCTTAAATGTCTCGATCGCACCAAACAAACGATGTGACGGAACACAATTCAAGTTCAGGCGAAGAATGTAATCTGATTCAAAGTTTCAATTCTTGTGACGAATTTGAGATCAAGTCAATCGAAACTGCCTATATGTCAGTCGAGCAAACAGAAGATTACATTGAGAACCGGCTGGAGGCGAAAGAATACCTAGATACAGATCAGAGATAGTCACAGAAAATCAAAAAGAATGATATACGGAGGAATCCCCAGTTGCAACAGATAAGCACTGAAGGCGTTGGTCAGAATTGATAACCAAATCATAAACATGACTATAGACACAGGGAGCCCAGTATCCTTCTTTAACTGGGCAACGACGAAGCAGATACTGGAAGGATCCCCCAATCCCAAGTTCATTCCAGCAGAAAGACTAAATTTGTCAGCGCAGTTTGTCAATTATAATGAACACCCGGTTTTGATTTTGGGAGCGCTCAAGGCAAACATCAGATCAGCTGGATGGGAGGTAGGTTAGACAGAGTCAGGACAGTTCGGATTCCGATATTCTAACAGGACAGATTCGGATAGTTCGGATTCCGATATTCCACACATCGAGTGGAAAACCATGGACAAATATATCAAGGCCAACACAGGGACTGGAACTTCTTCATCAACGGATGAAGAAAAACCGAATTTAGTTTCGTTTTGGGACCACATCCGTTTGTAGTTTTCATTAGCGTGTAAAAGAATAAGTTTTTTTCGAGTTTACTTCGTCAAATTTCGAGCCTAAACTTTTTAAAATTGTCCTTGAATTCAGCTAGGAACACTCAGAGCTTTGTCTGATACACAAGCTCTTTTGTGCGAGTCTAGTAGAGAAATCATTGAGACTAATTAGTTCATTTGGAAAAAATTTAGCGCTTCGAAATTTGAATAAAATCGGTATGCTAAAACAACTCGCATTTCATCATAGGAACAGGCATATATCTTGCATAATTTATCCCAGCAAACTGGCTTATTACTACCTTTAAATTCACCAAAACTGTCATGGAATTTAGCGCAGGCTACGTACTATTTGCACTTGAGCTCAGGGCGTCAATATCTTCAATAAGGTGTAAAGAGTCCCTCTCAATAAGGTGTAAAGAGTCCCTCAATTAATTTGATAATTTTTGAACATAATTTTTGCACCTAGATTTTGTCAGACAAATTGGACTGACTGTACAACACTACGCTCGCAAGTGTTAGACACAGAGGCGACACGACAAAAAGCAGCTTTATAAAGTACAATATGGAAGCTTTTTAGTAGATAGCAGACTAAACACTAGCCACAAATAAAGCAGAAAACAGATGCTATGCAATTTCCAATGCTAGTGAAATTTCCAAATAAGTGAACATTTTAATGAACATTTTTAATTGCGAGTTGGGTTTAGAAAAAAAAATCTTCTAATAACACACTAAGCTGACGCTTAAAAAATTGATCAAAGTATATTTTTTATTTCACTTTTATATATATTGATCATTTAGCATGAGAAACCTGAAATAATCTACAATTCAAGTGTACTTCAACTTTATCTGAGCAAAATAACTTAAATTGAACTTTAAAAAATCAAAAGACGAATTGCTTAAATCTAACAAGGCTAGCCGGTTGCTGAGCAAGTAGCACAGAATGTTCCGGCCATGTCCTAAAAACTACAAATAAAAGTTCTTCAAATTAGTGTCTTATTTGTACGTGGTGTTATGACAAAACTACAGACGAGTGTAGAAAATTAGTAAGTTAGGCATAATCGACCTTTTGTCGACCTTTTTAGTTTTAGATCGACCAAATTCATTTTTCGGGCTCTGCCAAAGCACTAAAAAGACCTTGTTCTAGGCAAATTTTCTGCGTCGCAAACAAAATTGTGAAAAAAAAAACAGGCCAAAAAAGGCGTTTATAGGCACTTTTTCTAAAAAATCTCAACAAACAATTGTTTTTTTCGGCGCGCGCTCCCCCCTCAAAATTAGTATATATTGGCGCCAAAGGCACTTTTAGAAAAATTTTAGGGTCCGTCAGCCAAAATTGGATATCTCAAAATAGTTCAAAGGGGGACCCTTTGGGTCGGCAGGTGGTCGAATCCCTGAGGGGGGTGAGGCGTCCGCCCCCCACCCCTAAATCCTCCCCTGACCAATTTTAACAGTTTATCAGTACATTATTCTGTCGAAATTAGACAAACTTCAAAAAAGTTTTTCTCGACACTGATATTTTTTGGAAATTTTAAAAAGTCGTTCGAATAACGACTGAAACGGCTTTAATATGATATATCACTCAACCCAGTCGGATGATTATAAAGTTCCCCATTTTCAATGGTCGTAACAAAAAGAGTGAAAAATTAATTTGAAACCATACGGTATAAATAAATGAATATCAACTTCAACCATCAGCATATGAACCATCAGTTTCTAATCCATCCAGGTTAGTGATGAAAACAAAAAAAGGAAATATTAGATCGAACTTTAAATTATC